GACTGTCATGTACGTGTCTTACGTGTATATATATATATATATATATATATATAAAGCATTATAGTATTATTAATTTATATTATAATGCTTTTCGAACAAAAAAAATAACAAAAGGTCATAATTAATAATACAGTCGAATCCCACTAAAGTGAACCTGGTTCATTGTGAACATTTTTAGTGGTCCCGTCTCTCCTTAAACTAACCCCCCGAATGAAGAAACAAACCTCTCTATTTTAAGAATCATCTTTTAGCCACTTGTAACCTGATTCTTGTGGAATCCACTTACTCTACAAACCTCTTTTCATTACAAATCACCTTTTGAAATTTTAAAAAAAAAAAGCAGTCAAAGAATTTCACTAGTTTCATAGTTGTTTTCTTAATGTTCTTTTATATCAATATGAGATAAGCAGACTTTTTTTACTCAAAAGCAGTAAAAATTGTGAATTCTGTAGAAAGGAAGGCATTTCCGATTGAGTTAAAATTATCATAAGTTTTAATCTTATTAATAATTATCTTCTTTTGTAACAAAAGTACAATACTGAAGAAAGAAAAAAGACTTTAAAAAAAATGAAGGAAAAAGTGAAATTTTGCAGGTAAATTCAACAGTGAATATATTAGGTTTTTTTTTTCTGCTACAGAAAATGTAGATAAGAAAATTCTGGATTTACTGATTATTAACACAGAAATTAATGGACTCTACTTAAAATTGAATTGCATTCAAGTATTCAACCAGAAATCATTCATTTCTTTCATAGAGTGAGAAATTAAAATCAATTTTTAGTTAAGTAAATATTTTAATTTTTAATTTTTTTATTTAATTAATAAAAAATTTATCAGCAAATTATGTCATACCACAATCATTATTTCCAAGAATATAACTGTCCTATGTTACAAAAATATTTTTCAAAGAATTTGGATATAATGAACCATAGTATATATATACATATGTAGTCAGACCTCGATATAAGGTCATCCGCATATAAGGTCACTTTTCCGAAGTCCTGGCTCACTGAATAGGAATTCTTTGTTACAGGTTATCGGATATATGGTCAAGTTTTAAAAACTGTTATTGCTTATAATGTCATTTTTATCTGAGACAAGTGGAGCTCTTTTCTAACAAAAGCCTATTTAACTTCTTTACAAGGCAATTACTAACTCTCGAGTTCTATGAAAATGTTGCAACCAACGAACAAGCTACAATTTCTGAAATTGTTTCATATTCACAGTGAGGACAATGACAGTGATCCTGAGACTGTAGCTGTAACCCAAGCGGAAGCCTTCAATGCAATAAATGGCATACGAAATTTTTTACAAACTATGAGGGAGCTGAGAAATATTTTGAGAAGTTACAAAATCTAGAAAACATTGTTCGAAAAATGAAACCAAAAATGAGACAGACCTGCATAAATGATTTATTTTAAATAAGGTAAGATGTAATGTATGTATGTACACTTTGAGGAAATTTGTAAACAGCTTTATTTTAAATTAAAATTTTTTAAAAAATCTAACTTTCTTTAATTCTTTACAAATTCTGTTAAAATTTATTGACTTAAATATTTAATTTATGGCCAATTTTCGTTTGTATTACCATTTCTTAAAAATCATAATGTGTACTATTTACGTGCTTAGTTGCGAACTGCTAATAAATCGGTTAAAAGGTCACCCCGCTTATAAGCTCACTTTTGCGATGTCGCTTAGGGTGACCTTATATCGAGGTCTAACTGTGTGAGTACATATATATATATGGAGAAATGTAAGATAAAGAAAAAACCTTAACTTCACTTAAACATCATAAGTTTGTTTACCTGTAAGGCTTGTACCCTTGCAATCCAGTCCTTTGCTTTTCTGACAGCATCAGCCAATTGCATGACATTAGGAAGATGAACTGATATATTTCCTGCTTCCTTAACAACTTGTTCCAGAACTTGTAAGGAGTGTTTAGGCCTAAAAGTAATTTAAATAAAATATCATCAACAAAATAACTAAGAAAGTCTGTAATTCAAATGAACACAAAAAATAAATTTCATAAAGAAATTCTAATATGAAGAGATTCAAAATAATGTCTTAAATAAAACTTCTCATAACAATATTCACATTAACAGGCATTTTATACATGGATGTACACAATGTAATCTCGATATTGTGAGCATTTACTTTATAATGAATAAATGTTAAAACTCTCAAAATGGCTCATTAATGAGATTTTCCATAATGGCACATTAACGACAGTATGTAGTTACAGCACAATTATGTAACTGCATACTATCAATATATCACAATTATGATATTTTTTTTATCAAATTATTTTTTAATAATTTAAGTTAAACTCTTTGGAATTTAATTGCCATATTCATAGCATATTAAAAATTTGCCTGTTTAAAGTTGTTGTTTTTTCTCCTAAATTGAAAGAATGATAGTGCTAAAAATAAAATTTATTTGAAAACTTTCAACCAAACAGCTAATTATTAAATTACACTCTCAAAATTCGAATTGAGCTAGTAAAATTTTTAAAGAATAAAAATTTTTAAGTTTTTGTCTAATATCAAAAATAAAGCATGCCTTTCACCTATTCTGATTGGTTGCAAGAATGAATTATATTATTCAAATAATATAGTTAAATGGAGCAAACAATAATCTTTAATTCATTATTATTGAATTAAATCTGATTAAATTAAAATCTGTAATTCACAGCGAAAAAATTTCATCTCGGGCTGTATTTTATTATTGGCACAGAATTGAGACAACTAATATACTTTAGCATGACCTTACCTAAGTGTTTGCTAGAGTAACTAAGAAAGCCTACCAACCAAGGTTAGTCTGATATATTAGGTGCATTAACCCATATTTTAGCAGAAATAATGGAAATGGAACTTATCAGTGAATAAATGAAACAAATATGTGGTGAAATAAATATGTTTTATAATTATTAATAACTCTAAATGCCATATGATGTAACTTGAACGTTTCCAGAAATGGAAATAAAAATTCAGTGCATAATACTATTAAATTAATATTAGACAAACAATTTTCTAACTGAGCGCTTTTAAGTGACATTTTACTTAATTCGGTAAATAAGCTTGAAAAAATGCTAATATGCTTTAAAATAAGCTGATGCTTAACAAATATGCTAACAAAAGGAAATAAAGATTTTGCATTGTTCTTTATTACTTATCTGCAAGCTCTCCATTGGCCAAAAAATCTATAAATCTTTAGCCCTTATTTTAACTGTTTTAATTGTAGCCTTCACATTTTTTGGGTCTAATTTTCTGACAAAATATAGTCTTTCTACAATTGCTTGTTGACCGTTCATTGCTAAATGCACTCGGAACCTTTTTCTACTCTGAAAACGCCTCAATACTTTTATCCAATGAGGTCTGCAAAATTTGAAGATTTGAAAAAATAATAAATGAATGTTGTAGTTGTAGAATGAGACGCAAAAAAATCTTTCTTTTTTAATAAATATAACATAGAACTTATTTTTCACTAAGCTTGAAGTATGGCTAAATCTTTTAACAAAAAATAAACACCTTTTAAGCACTCAATAAATATTTTTAAGAACTATATACATTAACAAAATGCTAATAATTCTTAAAGAATTTACATGATCATGATAAAACAACCAGTTTCTGACAAATAACTCTTTTTCTTGATTATATAAAATAACTCTTTTTCTTTTTATGGTATCTTGATTACCATAAAAAGATCGAGAGATTTTTCGGTTCGGTTTCAGAGGGTGGAAAATGAAGCCTGAAATTGAGCAGAGAATGCAGCCTGAAAATGCAGCAGAGTTGCACAGGAGAGAGCTAGAACCTCACTGAACTCAGCTCAGTAGATGCACATGCGGACTCGCAAGTATTTCATCAAACATGTAAAATGATTAGAGCTTTCACAAGCTAGGGACAAATGGTAGGCCGAAATGAATTGTGAAAACGTTGAATAGAACAATGTGAAGAGCACGCTTTTGCATAATATGTGGCGAAAATCAACATAGTGAAGAAAAACACTCATTTTCTCGAAAAAAGCACCTTTAAGGGCTTTTAAAAAAAAGAAAATAAAAATAAGCACCGTTAAGCACTTCTTAAAAACGCTGCGCACTATGATCTAGATATGTAAAAAATAAAAAATAATAAAATGTAAGATGCCTACTTAGCTTGCAGGCACATTTTGGCTTTTTCTTCCCACTTTTCTCCAAAAGTCAGGAGTTCTTGAAGTTCAGCCATTACTTTTTCTACGGTATGGTCAGGAGGTATGTTGATTCCCTTATCAAGGAGTTTACGCAACATATCTAGAGTAACCATCTCTGGGTGTATCAGGGAACCATTTACTTCTTCTAACCACCTCTTCTGGTAAAGCCTCTGCAAAATCAATCAAATTTCAATCATTCAATCAATTCAACCAATCAAATCAAAATTTTAAAAACTCAAAGTTTGCAACAAATCTTGACTATTACAAATTTACAAAACATGCAATGAAAGTAAAACTTAATGAAATAAAAGAACTGTACTAACAGCTTACTAAAGGTTAATATTTATTAGGAGCATGAATGCAGAAAGTTTAAGCTTTAGTGTCTTATGCATGAAAATAAAAATGTGCTAGCTTTCCTAATATAGAATAGAAAACTAGTTTTTCTAGCTTTCAGAATTATGACAAAATTCTTTTTTACAATTTACAATAATTTTTACATTAAAAATGCACACAATAGTTAAAAAGTTAAATTAAGCTCAAAAAGAAAATTTATGGAGTTCTTCAAAACTAAATTCTAAGATATTTTCTCCCTGCTATGATTTAGCTCAGAAATGAAAATTGATTTTATGTTAAGCAGAAATTTTAACTTAAAAGAAAAAAGCTGAAATATAATTATAAAATTTCACACGAAGAAAAAAACACAGAAAGGCCAGCTGCAAATCATTTTATTCTTAAGAAATAATAAAAAAATTTAGGAAAAGGAAGGGACCACTTGCTTGTTTTAGTTGCGGGATCTCGGGAATATCAATATCCAAATTAAGTCCAGCTTCCAAAAACTTTTCTACTTTTTTAGAATCTGTCTTATCATCATTGAGAATTTCTTTTGCTTCAGCTTCAAATGCCACGGCTCTGTCCAGCAGATCCTATTAAAAAATAACAATTATACAATTGATTAATTTTGTAATGTTTCTTCATTATGAGTAATATTCTTAAATTTTCTAACCTAATTAACTTGATAAGCATTCAATATTTTATTGAAACAAACATTTAGCTAAGATAATTGTGTTTGTAAAATATATGGGTCCAGACAATTACAGGGGTTTTTCTGAGAGGTAAATATTTTGTGAAAATTTAAGACATAATTTGTGAAAAATTTTAAATTACATTTAAAAATCAACACAAAAATATGAATTTATCGTTTCTTAAGGGATACAAAAATAAAATTTTAAGAAAAAGTATTTTGTTAAATAACCCTTTTTTCCTAAAGTTGAATTTGTGAAACTACCGTTTGACCTAAAATTGAATTTGGGAAGGTACTGCTAAACGGTAGTAAATTCAGCAAAGACAGACCCCTGAATTAGAACAAAAGATTTTAAATCTAGTCGACATATTGTACAGTTTTCAACTAGGTTGCATGCATAAAAAAGATTTAGCAACAAAAGAAAATGAATAAATCTTAGTAATGTGTATAACAATTTTCTTGGATTGTATAACATCAAAATTATTCATATGTAACATTATTCACTTTCGGAAAAAAATATATATATATATATATATACACACACACACACAAATATTCAAAACAGGATTACATTCAGAACAAGGATAAGCTGTTAACGAATGATTTAAACAACTTAAAATCCTAAACTCTTTCTTAAAACATACTTTTTAAAATTAATTTAAAGTTACAGATATTATGCAAAAAAAATTATTCTACATAATTTTTATTTTATTCAGTTTTTTTTTTATTACAATCACTAAAACTAAAAAAAATTTTATCTTCAATTTGTTATTAATTAAGTATCATAGACAAGGACTGAAAACATGCTTCAGTATCATGAAAAATGCATTACTTTATAAATCACAATTTCCTTGATTAATGAAGATAAATGAATAGGGGGAAAATATACCTTGACCAGATATGCTTCTTTTATTTCACATGCTAAAGTTGAAAGTTGATGATGGAATAACTGTAAATCTTCTAATGTAAGACGAGAGTTAGATTTTGTTTCTCCAACTTGCCTCATTCTATAAAATTCAAAATTATATTAAATTTAATTACTAAAAATACAAAAAAAAGTAAAAGTAAAACAGTAGAAATAAATGTTAAATACAATATTTCAAGTCAAAATTCGTAGAAAGTATTCAGTGTCTCAACAATAAAAGATGGACACATGAAGCATGTAGGTTATATGGGGAACATAATAAAAATTTCATTTGTGATTTTTGTTCTTAAATCTGATCAACTAATTCAATTTACGATAAATTCTAAATATATTTCTTACACACATTGATTTTAAAACCCCTGTATGTATCTCAGTTTAAAAGGGTCATATTATGAATTGTTGCTAAAAATAAATATTTCAGAAATAAAAAAATTTTCCANGTTTTTTAAAAAAAAAAAAAAAAAAAAAAAAAAAAAAAGTAAAACAGTCGAAATAAATGTTAAATACAATATTCCAAGTCAAAATTCGTGGAAAGTATACAGTGTCTCAACATTAAAAGATGAGCACATGAAGCCTTTAGGTTTTTAGGGGAACATAATAAAAGTTTTATTTTTGATTTTTGTTCCTAAATCTGATCAACTAACTCAATCTACAATAAATTCTCCTTATGTATCTCTCTCCTGTATGTTTAAAACTCCTGTATGTATCTCAATTTAAAAGGGTCATATTATGAATTGTTGCTAAAAATAAATATTTCAGAAATAAAAAAAATTTCCACCATATTCATCTACACACACCTGGTCATAAAAAAACACCTTTAGCATACTTTCAAAATCTAATTAAATTACTTTCTCAAATATAGTTATTTTTACATAATTAATTTACAGAGTGTGTAGCCAAATCCCTAAACACAAAAATAAGCACCTTTTAAGCACTCAAAAAATATTTTCAAGCACTATATACATTAACAAAATGCAAAATAATTTTCAAAGACTTTACACGATCATGAAAAAATACCTAGTTTTAGACAAAGAACTCTTTTCTTGATTATATTAGCCACCATAAAAAGATCGAGAGATTTTTCGGTTCAATATCTGAGGGTGGAAAATGAAACCAGAAATTGAGAATATCTTGCAAAATGCAACAGAGTTGCACGTGCGGACTCGAAAGTATATTAAGCATGTAAAATTATTAGCGCTTTCATACGGTATGGACTGAAGGTATGCCAAAATAGATTGTGGTTGAATGAATTGTGAAAACATTTAATAGAACAATGTGAAAACCATGCTTTAATACATGGCGAAAATCAACACGGTAAAGAAAGAAATTTCAATTTCGAAAAGGAAAATTAAGCAGTTTTTAAAAACACTCAATGAAAAAAGGCAGGGCTTTTAAAAAACGAAAATCAAAAATAAGCACCTTTAAGAAGTTTTTAAAAATGCTATGCACCATGATTTATATTGTGGAAACTAAAGGGATAATTTGTCAGAAAAATACAAATTTAAGGACGAGGCTTTGTCCAACTTACTTTAAATGAATTCAAAAAGTTTTGCTAGAGTGTGTGCTGCTTTAAACTTTAACTTTTAGTATTTAAATTTCAAAGTTTAATGTAACTTAATAAAGTATATGAACTTAATAAGCTAAATAAAGTATATGAAGTCTTCAAAAAGATTAAATCATACCTCGTTCGCACTTTTCGACTCAAAAGTTGTTGAGCGAGAGCTGCACATTTCTCACCCTCCTCAACCGCAGCTGAAAGATTTTGTAAGAGCTCAGACTGAGGAAATCTCTTCTCGTCTGCTTCCTGAAGCAACTCTTTGAAGTCTGATATACCTATATAAAAATAAAATTTTACCATTTAATTATCGGAAGTAAAATAAAGTTAGAAAAATTGAAAACAAAAACATAAATTACCCAATTTTGAGCTTTCAGTGGCATTCAAGGCAGTTTTTACTTTGATGGACCAACAATCAAATGATTCAGCTCTAGTTTTCAAGCGTTGTAGCATACCAGGAAGTTCATCCAATGTGTACCGGTACCTGCAACATTAAATGCATATTTAAAGAAAACATTTTTATTTTAGGGTGCATAGCCAGATTTTTTCAATAAAAAATAAGCACCTTTTAAGTACTTTTTAAGCACTCAAAAAATATTTTTAATCACTATCCAAAACATAAAATCAATAAAATACAAAACCATTTTCAAAAACTTTACGTAATCATGATAAAAATAACTAGTTCCTGATAAATATTGCAGAGAAAATTGTGAAAATCATGCATTTTTTATAATTTCGAACGACAATCGTCACGGCAAAGAAAAAATGTCTTTTTAAAAGATAGAAAATTAAGCACTTTTTACAAATCCCCAATTCAAAAAGCTACCCCAACTCAAACCTCTAAGAGCTTTTAAAAAACTTAAATAAAAAATAAGCACCTTAAAGCACTTTTTTAAAACGCTATGCACCCTGTGATTTGTTGCCAAAAAACTAAATGTTTTTAGACTAGGGAGCTCCACGTCCTGCACACTAAAGCTCGCCAAGCCTCAGAAACACTTACATACTTTCTAGTTTTTTAAATTAACTGAAACTCCCTTGTTTGCTCATATCACCTTGGTCCTATTAAATAATAAGATTCTTTTTCTAATATCCTTTAAAATTTATTTACTAAATTGTTAAACGGTTAATCTTAAAAATTTAAAATAAGTAATAAAAAAAATACTTTTATTAAATTTCAAAAAACACAATACTTACATTAAACTATGTTTTTCTGGAGGGCAAAAACATAACTTGTCTCTATGAGGAATACAGACCAACTTGTCTAAAAAAAATTATAATAATGAATATTATAAGACATAAATTTTATTTTAACTATAAACTAACTAAATATATTTTAACTCATACAGCAATATAGAGAGATTACAATGAAGATGAGGACACAATTGTCCAGACAAATTGAAAATTAAATCATTGTACTTATTAAACACAATTTGATAAAAGGTTATCACAAAAAAATAAAAGCTTCAATATACAGAATATTTGAAAATTTACTACTTTTTACCAATAAAAATTAAATTCTCTTTCTCTGTGATTGCACCTTAGCTGTGGTTTGACAAACAGCACACATGACACGAAATACAGTATCCCAGTCCAACTTTAATAAAATGAAAAACTTTCGCTACCACAAAAATCTCAATTAAAAGACTTTCTGCAAAGCAATTATAACTATTTCTTAAACATCACAATATTAATTAACTCTTGGATTTTGTTTCAACCCCTTTATAGTCCGACCAATTTTGGTAAAATTTGTTTGAAAATCAACTATTTTTTAAAAAATCTTTAACTTTTATATTATTCATTCCAGCATGCCTCAAATTAAAAGTCAAATGCAATGACAAAATTGCGGGAAAAGTACAACTCCACAAAGGTGAGAAAGAAATTATTATATTAATCTCTGTAATATTAATATACTGGTTAGAATTGGGAAATTTCCATTTTTCAACTTAGCAAGAGCCCTGGTGGCTCATGGGATAGAGTGTTTGCCTTCCAATGCGGCGAACCGGGTTCGAATCCCAACAGTGGCTGGTAGATACGAATTCCGCATCTACACCGTCCACAATGCTGACTTAAAATATCGTCAGTGGTCATGGATTAGACTCCCTCTGCCGTCAGGCTAACCGCGGAAGGTTTTCATGGTTTTCCTCTCCGTGTAAAGGAGATACGAATTAGTTCCATCAAAAAACCCTCCACGAACACAAATTTCTCCTCAATACTTGATCCCTAATCTTCTGGATTGGGCTCGAAATTACAAGGCTACGAAATTGAACAATAGTAATCGTAAACTCAGGTCAACCGCTCAACAACGATAATAAAATAAAAACAACTAAATAAAAATTTCAACACAATATTAAAAAATACTGACTGTTTTTTGTTTACAATGAGTGACATTAAAAAATGTTCCACAACGGTGAAAAATTTTCAGCAATTCACATGTTCATGCATAATATACATATCTGATCTTAACAGTTAATGATTCCATATAGGTTTGCTCTTTGTTTTTGAAGTGGTTTAATTGTTTCCTCCCCATAACTGTCCCATTTTATTCTTTCAAACATTTGGTCTAGAACAAACACATAGACAAAAGAAATAGTAGACATATAATCTATTCAAATATTTGTAAAGCAACACCATTCGTTATTCATTACAATTGTTAATTTATGGCAAAATATAAGTGGAACTTTACTTTGTTCATCTTTATTGTTTATAGACATTAAATTTTTAAGAAGTTTTAAGTTTTTAAATCCTTAAAAAGGAAATGAAATTTCCGCAAACCAGTCAAATACTTACAACTTTTTTAAACTGATTTCAAAGAAGTTTAGGAAAAATTCCTCTTTAAACCAGAGTAATGTTTGTAACAAAATTTTGAATAGTCAATTGAAGATAACATCAATCATGTTTAAAAAATGAGCTTTTTTAAATCAAGCTTCGTAATAAATGGGGTTAAATTTTTCTATTCACTAAGTATAGTTCAAGCGACTGATATGAGAGAAAATTATTTTACTTTTTAGAAGATTACTAAAATATGAATATACTGCAAAAGCAGCAGAGAATTTAATATTAAAGGGCCAACTTGAGAACACTTTTATAATCATATTTTCTAGACTATGGCTACCCCAAACCCTATTCCAAAATTCCTCGAAAAAACAACAAATTAAATTTTTCAATTAAATTTCATAACTTAAAATATCCTCAGCGCAAACTAATTAGCATATTTAAAATCAGCTTCTAGAACTATAAAAATTGAACACAAGTATGTAAAAAATCTGATCTACAGATTAAAAGTTTGAGAGGTATTCTTTTTCTTATTTTTATTTTGTGCACTGTATATAAATAATACTGTTTTATATTTCATTTGCAACTGGAGGGGAAAAAAACACACTGTTTAAACTTGTATTAACAAAAGAATCAGTGAAATAAAACTTTTATCTAATGTCATAAAAGACAATGAATAACATAAGTGGAAAAGCTTACTCTTACTGTTATTGCAAGAACAAGTAACAGCAGATAGGAAACAAGTGGTTTTGCAGTAATCACACTGCCGCTCATCATCTGGCAACAATTCAAACACTTCTTTATTAGCTTGTGTTACACCCTGAAATATAAATGATGGTTACTATATAAAGATTATAGCAAGATAAAAGCATAAAGTATCTGCACACACAATCCAAAAGCATCTGCAAGCTCATAATATTTTTGATAATACAATATTTTACTAAATATATGAAATCAGTAAACTATTTAATATTTTAATTTATTCTTGAAAAAATTATATATACATGCAACTTTAATATTAATAGTTATCAGGAGTCTGTCTAGGTTTTGCTGAGAGGTACATATTTTGTGAAAATTTAGACATAATTTGTGAAAAATTAAAAGTTATATTGTAAAATCAACACAAAAATATGGTAAAAATATGAATTTATCGTTTTTTAAGGGATACAAAAATAAAATTTTAAGAAAAAGTATTTTGTGAAATTTTGTAAAGTTGAATTTGTGAAGGTACCTCTAAACGGTAGTAAATTAGGCCTGGGCAGACCCTTGGTTGGTTATACATGGAACTGCATTCATATAAAGTAATTATCATATTAAGTAAGATTAGTAATTTCGCTCCAAACGAAAGTACATTAAAAGATTTCTTACTGTCACTGGAATCGTCTATTTTCATTGCAAAGCGATAGTTGAGTTGTAAAAAACCAGCTGGTTGTAGGCTCGGCCGCTAACAATGGGATCGCAAAATTTTGGACTAAAGTAGCAGTTGTCTCTTTTCTCTTTGGGAGCAGCATGCATACAACTAAGCGCTGACTTTCTTCTACCTCACATAAATCATGAGTACACCGGCTGCTTCATATCCCCCCCCCCTCCACCAAACGTTTTTTGCACGGGGATACTTTTTGTTCATATTACAATAAATATTTTTAAAAAAGTATCTGCAGAATTGGAGAATAACCCCCAATGTATCCGCGCACAACGTTCGCGCGTGCATTTATATTATCTGACTATGAAGATCATATTTATTTTGCAACTCATTTAAATTGTAAGTTTCAAAGTGTGGTACAATAGTGAGAATTAAACAAATTTAAAATATGAATACTAACCCAATCAAAAAGTGTCTTCCTCAACTCTTTCTCAGACATAACCATTTTCAGCATATCTTGATAAGTAGAAGCAGCTATACTAATATCTAGTTTATCTGGATCTTGTGCCATCTTGCACACAAGTTCATCGTGTGAGAACACACAAAAGCGATGTAGCATTCCATAATGAGATACACACACTCGTCCAATAGGAAGCTGCATGTTAAAAGGAACAGTAAAAATTTTAGAACATTAAGGATTAAAAATCATTGGAATAGAGATACATAAATAAATAATTATTGGAGATATAAATAGTAGTACAGGCAAGTTAGAGCAAATAAAATTTGTAAGAAATCGCAGAAATTTTTACTAGAGTACAATAAAAAATACGCTTCATACCTGCCAACATTGTAAAAATAATATAATGGAGATTATACTAGTGACATTTTTTAGGGTACGAGTAAAGTGTTTTAATACATCATGCATAATCATTAAGTCCAAAAAAAGAAATTCAAAATTGGAAATAATATAAGCACTTACATTTTACGAAGTAAAAAATATGTATATAAATCTTAATCTAAAGAATTTTTTAAACTATTATTTATAATTACTTAAATTATTAACAATTAACATCAGTACTGGCAATAGCACAATCTGTTGAGGATTAAGAAGTATTTTAGCCATCAGTGAATATTTTATTGCCATTTTTTTAAAAATTTCTTCAACAAATACGGAAAAATTTGAGAATATACGGGTAAACAGGAGATAGTCGTAAAATACAGGAGACTTTTTTAAAAAACAGGAGACCAGGTATGCTGCTTTAAAAAATAATAAATTTCAAATGATCTTTCTTGAGAGTTCCAATTTAGCAAATAAACTATTATCTTAAATTGTAAAATTTAAAGTTCAGCGGAAATTTTGTAATTTATTACTCAATACAATAAATTTGTTACGTAAATTCTCTTAATTTAATATTTTCAGTCTTAGGGGCTTTTCATCAGCCGTAAAGATAGAGTTTGGTGATGTGGTGAAGAAAAATGTTGTAGTCTTCTAATAATTTATTAATTAATAATTGTATTGAAATACACAAACTTAATTTTACAAGTGATTTGCTAACCTGAAAAAACTACATTTAAAAATATTTATCCTTACTCGAGAGAGATACATCAGGTAAGTTTTTTTTTGTCAGTATTATATAATCTCAGAAATGTATGTGTGTGTAACTGAAATTTATAATTTTAAAACAAATTATGTTTAGTTTCATTCTAGAATTAATTGATAAAAACTCATTTAAAGAGACTTACCCAATCTGCTGGTGCAAAATTCACTGCTTCAGCAAAGTTGTAACCTTGATTAAACCCTGCATGGTAAGATCTTGGGAATGTAACAACAAATTCCCCTGCCAGTTGATTAGTCCGACAAATCTAAAAGAAGAAGGAAATTAGTAACAAGTTAATTACTATAGTAGGGTTGCCACATAAAAAAATGAACATAATAGTTGCTTTTAGTATCTTAAAGCATGAAAATAGTTGCTGAAAATTACGAAAATAGTTGCCTTATTAAGAACAAAAATTCACTAAAAATATTCACTAAAATTTTATTAAATGACTTAATTGTCATATACCATGATTCCTTTAGTCAAGTTAGTGACACATATAATAATTTTTATACAAACGCTGTTTATATAAAAAAATTTATATTAAAAAAATTAGTATATTTGTAAAAAATTAAATGCTTTAATTGCTATAATTCATTCAAAAAAATAACCTTTTTATTATAAAAAACATACTCCTTTTAAAAAATTTTCCTTTCACCAATAAATGATTTAGCAAATATAAATATGCATACATATATTGTAAAAAGTGATTACTCAAATTCAAGCTTCACGCATCGTAATATCATATTAAAGACTGGGTTTTTTAAAATGCAGAATTTCGTAGCAATAACTGTTGAAAAGGCGATTGTGAAACAAAATAGACTTATGTAATCTGTGCAAATTGAGCTCATTAAAGGAGAGAAATATACTTAGATAAGGAGAGAAATATACTTACAGGCACTCCTTGGGAAATCAAGAGATTGGGATTCATAATTGTCACCAGTTGATGTAATAAATCTGGTTGTGCATTAAATAATTCAGGAGCAACAGATCTCATTGCTTCTTCAAAGGATTCAGCTTTCCCGCCCGGAACACCATACCAAGTTTTCGGTTCTCCCCTAATAATAAAATAAATGTAAGTGGTATAAATTTTCACCAAAAGTTGCATGCCTTTAAACAATAAAATATCATTAATGACAGCATAAAACAAAAAATTAAACTTTAATCTTAGCATATTTTTTTAAATTTCAAACCTTTCTTCAAAAATCAGTCTTATTTTTTAAGAAATTGTAAACTATTATCAGGGTAAAGACACTTGCTACTCATGGCAGATAATCGAAATTGCATACTATCAAAACAAAAAAGAATATTTCTTTTTAATTTTCGTTTACTTAAAACTTTGCTAAGCATTAACTATTTAACAACATAGTAAAAAAGTATAATACCCTTTCATATATTTCATACAATAAAATAAAACAAGATTAAAAATTAATGAGCCACACAAATGGTACCTAAATGTAAACAGGGTTCCCCCTCCATTTCAGAAAGAAAAAAAAAACTCAATTTCAATGAAATTCCATTCCATATTTTATCTATACTATGCAATTTTTTATCAAAAAACTTGGATTATTTTTATTTTATTTGTAATGTCAAATATTAGATTATGTGCGCAAAAACATATAATAGAATGAAAATGGAAACATGGAAAAGTTTCACTAAAAAGTATAATTTTATAAAATAATTCTAATAGATGTTAGTATTATTTAATTTGAATCTAAATAACTGTTTACAGTTACTGACATTTCTAAGGCTGGTCATTTTCCAGTAAGATATAGGAATTTTCCAGGTTTTTTGTAAAAAATTGAGATTTTCCCTGACTATTCCAGGTTTTTCCTGACCCCTGGTAAACCCAAGGGAAGAAGTTGCTATAAATCTTTTCAGCACACATGACAAACGGTATAACTCCGATAACTAAAATCTCTGAGAATAAACAAAAAATGAAAAATAAAGAGTTTGAGTGATAAAGTTGATTTGATTCAAATTTGGAAAAACAATTTTCAATATTTACCTTTAACATTAACATTAGATGCATTGTGCTATTTAAGATATGAATAATATTTATATCAATACATAATTGCATTTCTTAATTTAGGTTCTGGATGTGACGGTTTTATCCACGTTCAAAACTGTCAAAATTTGACACAGATAAAAAATTTCCCAACCAATAGATAAAAATTTTCCCAAATGAAAGATTATTGAAGACAAATGTTGATAAAATTTTACCAGTGAAGATAGTTTATAGAATAGCTCCAATGATCTTCATTATGCCAACAGAAGGTGGCAAAGCACATTCCAACATATGTCCAAGGTATCTAGAATATAAAGATATGAGCATGTAAGACTACAAAGTAAGAACATAAAAACAAGTGTAAATTACAATTATTATCATTAACAATATGAATAAACTAATTATCAATGTTTAATTTGATAACTATTCCTCAGACTTCAAAATTGAAGCCCTTTTTGTTCGCTTACTGAAAAAATATTTTTATAGTTCAATTCTGTAGGCACATTGAGTAAAAGAAATATATATATATCTCACACTGAATAACTTTTAACTTTTGTTCTTGGATTTTCACGAACTAAGTGAGAACCTTAATGGTTCCTGGGGGTGACCTGAAATGTGTATTTATTGCTAATCATTAAATAAGTTAAGAAATCGGACTCAAAAACACACTTTCTCTGAATAAACATTTTTTTTTTTTTACATATTTAGATTCTTAACCTTCAAAATATAGAAGGCAATCTGGAAATTGTTACCCTAGTAGTTAAATCAGAAGAAAGGATGAAAATTTGGTCCCCCTAATATTAGAAGTAGCAAAATTTGCTTTAACTGCGATTTCCATGGGGGTGCATAGGACTTTATCTTGAGCTTTTGAAACCTTGCCTTTTCGAAGTTTATCATACTAAACTTAATTTCTAATAAATGCTTTGATTGTATTTTGCATAATTTTTTTGTATATAAGTTTTACCATTGTAATTCATAAAATAGATCATAATTTAACCAAGATAAATTATCAAAATTTTGCTTTTTTATTATTTTTCATTAGTTTCCATTTTCCGACAACCTTCTTTATGACCATATTGTATATTAAAATGGAAAAAAAAACTCTTTCAAAATTTTTTTTTGATTATTTTAACTCTAAAACATATGTAATAAAAATATGCAATTTTTGAACCAATTTTGATTTATAAGAAATTATAATAACGTAGCGAGAGGGTTAACAATCTTTTTACAGAAATTATTAGTATAACTTCATTATTTCTATTTCGTCATAAGGGGATAAGAATGCTCAAAGAAATCTTCTTAATAATTTCCTCAATGACAGAATTGAAATCTGATTGAACAAAACACTTCATCGCTTGAAAGCTAAAATGAGAAACAATTTAACTATTACAATTTACTTAAGCTTATCTCGCTAATTTTTTAATAGCCATCAAAGATAAGGATAGGGCATTTGAAGCCCCGTTTACTATGCTTGATTAATTTTAAGCAAATAATAAATAAATAAAATAAAGGGTGTAAAAATAAAGTCGATCAAAGTACGCCTATAATATATCTTAAAATAAATTGAAAACAAATTTTAAAATCAACAATAAAAAAATAATTTTTCAAAATTTTTTTTATAGGGCGGAGATATTAACTTTTTTGAAATAAATATCCTTGAAACAGGCCAGGGGCCATTCCATTTTCCAATTCAACTTTTGGAATTTGAATAGTAAACAGAATTTTTCGACAGTCTTAAAAAATTGTTTTTAAGTCTAGGTATCAAAAAAAAAATTACTGCAGCGATTTGTTAGAAAGTTGTGACTAATTATTAGTTGAATAAAAAAACTTAAACTTTTTTACTCTCTAAACAAAAGAATTCTAAAATCCACATTTGTATTAGTAGAAAATTGTTTGTTTTGAACACAAATAAAAGTCAGAAATATCAGGACAAATAGTAAAAAATCAAGACAATTACTTTAACATTGGGAGATGTACTTCAATAATACTTTAACATTAAAAAATAAGTACTACAACTAATACAAATGTAGAAAATGGATTATTATTATAGAAAAGTGCATATTTCTTACTTTCATTCCAGATATATCTGCATTTATGTGCTTCAAAACTGATCCCTCCAAAACGGGGAGATTATTCAGATTCCAACCAGATGTCACATATTCCTGTTATAAAATACATAGATCATTAAAAGAAATGTGGAGAAAAAGTAAAAAGAAGAAAAAAAGAAAATGAATTATCATACATCATCTCCCGGTAATAAGCTTTTGGTTTTTCTGTTAGGAAAGCCAGAACCATGATCAATAGTATGAAGATCAGCACCATATTCAACTGTCACATCCTCATCTACTGCATTGACAATCCTCCAGAATTCTTTTTCCACAAGAGAAAATGGTACCCTCTGAAATAAAATAAATCTGTTCTACAATTTGAACAAACAATGATTGGCAGATACAAATTATCCCACTAAGAGTTGGGCCTCTAGACAATATTGTACTGAAATTTCCTTGGAATAAAATGGGAGGGTATTGATATTTTAATACAGGAAAGCCTGCAGCTTAGTGATCAGAAAAAGCTGGGACTATCCATCGATTCTGCTAGATAAATTATCCCACCAAGAGTTGAGCCCCTAGATAAAATTGTACTGAAATTTCCTTGGAATAAAATGGGAGGACCAATATTTTAATACAGGAAAGCCTGCAGCTTGGAGTTTGGAAAAAGGTGGGACTATCCAGTGATTCTGCGAAACTTTGGAAACTACCGGTCCTTAGGAACCAGGAAAGCCGGTCTCAATTTAGAATGAAACAAATCTCTTCACTAAAGATAACCAGAAAAAAATTAATTTTTCATGTTTAGGAATAAAAATGCAATTAATTGATTCAGTTATAATAATTCAACAAAAAATTAAAATCAAAATTTCTATATAATCAAAATTTTTACATATTTGACACATTACAACTTGTATAAACAAAACTACCGGGACGGTTAAGGAATTATTAACTCTTTTATCAAAAAACCATAACAATTGCTTGTGATTTCAGATTAGAAGGAAAAAAAACATTCTGTTAGTTTCAAGATATTATTTATTTCTTCATTCCCATCAACTGAAAGGTGGTCTACATAATAATCTTACAACAATCAAAGTTTAACTTTACAAAGTTACAATTTTAAGCCCAACTAGAAGACGATGGATTTAAGTAAAAACAAGCTGACCATTGTTTTTTAACTTTTGAAGTTAAACTAAAAAAAAAAATTACATTACAAGGATGGTTTACAAATTCCAATGTTTACAATCAAAAGGCATAATTTAAACCTAACAATATGACAAGGGTACTAAGAAAAATACCTAGGCAAACTTAATTTCCCAAAGAAAATTACGAGCGAAATCAACAAACATTAGAATTACAAACATTACATTAATAACTTTTTTCAGAATATTATTTGGAAAGAAGACTTGCGGGGGTAGAAAAAGCATATTTTTAAGAACACTCTTTCAGGCAGCAAAGACTAAGAAGAAGTGGAAGCACTACTTGTACATCAAAGGTAAAATAAAGCACATCTGAAGATGAAGATTTTTATGAAATAGATTGACATTTTAAATATAGGAATCAGCCACAATTGCAGAAATTCATTGGCAAAAGTTTAATTAAGAGAAACGGCTAAAGTTTCAGTCTCTAAAAGTTCTTTTTGTTTCGTGCACAATTTATCTATTATTTAAATGAATAATTGAGAATTAGAAAATTTTCCCACCCAAACATAAAATTTGTTTTTACAAAGAAAACTTTATGGAACTCATTTCATATCTTGAAAATCTTAAAGAAAATAAACATATATGGGTATAGAAATGTTTTACTCTGATAAGTTAAAAAATACTTACATGAACTGGCATGTTGAAATAAGTAGTTTTAAATTCGTCAGCTTTCATCCCAAATTCCTGTAGTGTATATTCTCGCTGAGCTTGCTCAAAGCCAAATGCTTCTTGAGGTTTATTCACTTCCTAAAAGTAACAATAAGTAAAACTAAATTAAGTCATTTGTCTCAAATTACCTGTTCATAGATGTTAATTATTATAGATGTATAGGTGTTTGCTTAATTACCTAACTTATATGCTTTAAAATTAGCTGTTGAAAAATTCAGTTATTTTATTTCTCTTTTCTTAAAAATAGTTTCAACATATTTATAATAGGCAAACATATTTATTAAAGTTCAAAATTATAAACTGGACTTTTCAATATAAAGAAGTATTATAGATAATTTTTTCTCTCAATTGGATTCCCAATTAATTAGACGTGCAAATACTTTTTAAAACTTGTGACTACAGAATAGATGCGATTTTAAGCTATAATGCGTAAATCAAATTTTATTATTGAAAAATTACAAAATAATTGCATACCCATTGAGAGTAAGAAATTAATTGTAAAGACTTTTATGCTATCATTAAAAAAAAATTTTGTTGAAAAAAGGAACTAAAAAAGTCTTTGCTTTTTATTCAAAAGCAAATCAAAACACAGAGTCCCACTCAATTTCAGAAAAAAAAAATTCCCTGACTTTTCCAAGAATACCAGGTAAATTTCAATGAAAAATGAAACCATATTTTCAGCAGAAAACTTTGATTCTTTTATTTGTAATGTGAAATATTAGATTTTATGCGTAAAAAATATTATTAAATGAGGAAGGGAACATTTCAGTTTGACTAAAATGTGAAATTTTTACAACAAATAATTGTAATAGATGTTAGAATTATTTAACTTGATTCTCAATAACTGATTCCTGTTACTGACAATTTTAAGACTGGTTATTTTTCAGGTATGATATACGAATATTCTAAGTTTTTGCAAAAAAAAAATTTCAACTCTCCCTGACTATTTCCTGAGTAAAAATAAAATTGCCGGTTTTCCCTGTTCTCCTTGACCTGTAGAAACCCTGAAAACATTATTAATTTGAGATGGCTACTTTAACTTAAAAAATGTAGCATTCAGTTAAAATAAAATAAAAAAACTATAAACAAAATACTGAAAGTAATATATTGTTACCTTGGCAACACAGCAAGGACATCTCCAGTCACCTTTTGGTATTTCGGCAAGAGGTGGTATTAAACAAAATGTATGATAACTGTCATCACAACCATCACAAAGCAGTATACTGGCTTCTTCATCACCTCTGCCACACATATTGCACACAATTTGATCAATCTGAAAACAAATATAAACATTAGTATTTACATTAGTACAAAATATGTAATAAATATGCAGTGACTAAAACATCAGGCATTCGTTCAAATTTTTTTAAGAGGTACCTATTTTGAGAAAATTGTTACTATAAATTAAAATCATATTTTGTATTTGTATTTTGTTTGACTAGTAAATTTCTAAATATTTTTCCCCAGATATTCAAAAACAATTCTGCTATCGTGAAATTTTGGGCTAAAAATTTCATCTAAATTTCAAAATCCACAAAATTTATAGTCCATATTAAATTTCAACTTGAATTTAATAAAAACATGCATTTAACAACACTTTAAGAGTTATTTTAATTATGAAAACATTTTCAACTGGGTCATAGAGAAAAAAGTTTCACAGAGAAAAGAATTGTTCATAAAAAAATAAAGGCCTGTTAGAATAAATTTACAATAGTGTTTAAGAAAATGTTTGAATTTCGACTTTTTGTAAAGTTTAAAGAGCCTTGTCATTTCATTTTTAAAAAACTCTGCAAAAAAACAAAAAAATAAGCTCGCTTTGATATTGCACTATCTGACCAAACATGTGCTACCTTTTCGTAAAAGGCAGCTGGCAGAAAAGCTCCTCTTTCCATAGATTGCAACAAGAATGGAGTTTGCTTGAAAACTTGTTTTTTCTAAAAGTATTTTGTGAAACTACCGTTTTTCCTGAAGTTGAATTTGTAAAGGTACCACTAAATGGTACAAAATTTACCCTGGACAGAACCATGAACATTTAGACAAAGTGACATTTTGAAGAAATACGAATTTTCAAGTAATAATGGTTTCAATGTTTTCATACATTAAACATAAATTCATTCTATTTAGTCTTCAAAATGTTTTGTTAACAGATTTCTAATGTTTGAGGATGGTTAACCACAAAAGGCTAAGCACAAATAATGTCAGCAGCAGGAAAACAAAAAACAATGAGGTTTTACTTTTATGGCAAAGATTATAGTTTAGATAGTAAGATGCATCTTTAACAAACTTTTTTTTCATTTTATTATCCTAACATTTAAATTGACATGAAGAAAAAATAAAATAATCTCTTAAAGAATAAAAAAATGTTCAAACAAATAAATAGCCAAAATGGGCTATAACACTCAAAAGATAGCCTCTAATTCATTTCATTTATTGATTATGGTATGGTTCATTTATTGTTATGGTATGTACTAATATGTTTAGAACATTGCAAACATTTGAAAACAGAAACAAAATAGCAAGAAGTTTGAATAATTACAGGAGTTTTTCCTTTTGGTCTATCTTTTCTTTTTAAAATGCTTCCCAGTTTAGCAGCCTCCACAGCTCCCATGGTTCTTGTTTCTTTCAGAAAATTTCCTGATAATTTGTTACCAAATCCCATCTTTAAATCTTTAGCACCAAGACCCATTTTAATATCTTTAAAGCATTCTATATGGTTTTCTTTCAAAAATGCTTTAGATTCTTCTTCATTTTCAGAATTACCACCTGTCAAAAAAAGAAAAATTATTAAAAACAAACATATACATATTTCAACTATATGACAATAAATAAAATAAAATAAAGCAAAATAAAATAAAAAATTACAATAAAAGGAAATATATTTCAAGGGGAAAAAATCACTTTTTTAAGAGCAAATTTTAAATTTTTTAAATTTTATAGTTAAAAAATTTTTTTAAACAATCATTTGGAGAAAAAAATTAAAGAAATAGGAATGCCTATCTCTAATGAATGAGTTATTAATAATTATCCCCATTCTTTCAGGAAACCCCTCATTACTGACTTAGATTGTTCCAGAATCTAAACATCAACAATTACAAGAATTGCACCGATATCCAACTTACCCTGGATCACATTCTCGAGTACCCAGCCCTTACCCCATATGTTTTACAACTGGGTATGGTTCCACTGGCTTCAGAACTTGGTGAGATCCTCTACAGTTATGATGTATTGGAACTTGCGGATGCAGTATTTGAAGGCACACGAGGCCATTTAATTGTCCATGGACACGATAAAAAATTATTAATTATGAATTTCAGAAATTATAATAATTATAAATTTCAAATATACATTGAAGAGCTTTTCGAAAAGTATAGGGTACATCAAAATGTCAGACAATATTTAAATTTACAAAATGAATATATCCAAAAAATCAAAGGTTATCCACTGCCTCATTTTAAGACACTTATTTAAACTGTTGGTACAATTTACAGCATTCTTATAGTCCAGGGGTTGCTATTAAAAAATAAATCCATTTCAAATATTTATGATGAGCAGATAAATTTTAAACTGCTACAATTAAATAAACTCACAATGAAAGAAGCAAAAATACACGATTCCCAACAGAGGAACAAAAGAATGAGATAAATTAAGGTTAAGCTAGTTGATATATATGACATTGTTGATAGAATGGTAGATACACATTTGTTGCCAACTTTACAAAACTGCATAAAACTAATCTTGCATAAATATTATAAAATTCTGTAAAAAAAAATTATTAAAAAAATTCGAAGAAATTTCTCTGACATGAAGAATTCCAAAACATTTCAAAAAAATTTATTCGCTTAACCATACCTGCCAACATTGGAGAAATAAAATAACGAAGATTTTACTAGCAGCATTTTTTTGCGCTATAAGTAAAGTTTTGATACATCATGCATAGTTATGTAATTCAAAAAGAGAAATTCAAAATTGGAAATATAAGCACTTACATTTAGCGAAGTAAAAAATGTGTATATATGTGTATATCATAATATATCATATGTGTATATCAAAAATGTGTATATCATAATTATGATTGTAATTATAATGATTACTTATAATTAATCAAACTATAAACACTCAACATGCTACCGCACCGGCATCAGTTGAGGAATAAGAGAAGTATTTTTGCCATTAGCGGATATTTTATAGCCAATTTCTTTTCTTTTTTTGCTTTAATTTCTTCAACAAATTTTGGAGAAATTTGAGAATATACAGGTTAACAGGAGATAGTCGTAAAATACAGGAGTCTTCATCAAAAAACAGGAGTCTTGGCAGACTTGACTTATGATAAATAAAGGTTTTTAAGATTCAGATATTATACTTATGATATTGATATAAATTTAAATACACATTACAGGGGTTTAGCGGTTTCAATTATAATTATAAAATAACAGAAAAAAAATAATATACAATGTTCATAATTAATATGTCAAAAGTTCTCTAACTAGCAGTGAAAAAAGGCAGCATTCTGTAAAACTAGCAGTGAAAAAAGGTAAACAAGCACCAAGAAACACATTTATCTTTAATTTCAAAAAAAAAAAAAAAAATCAGATGTTTCATTAAATACCTTGAGCGTGAAAACCCGGCATTTTGGGACCAGCTCCATAAAACTGCAATTTCTTTAGCTCACTATTTGTTGAGTAATCAATCCCATCCTATAAATAAGAGAAAAATTATGTATTTGAAAGCAAAGATCAAAAATTTAAAAATTGAAACTACCAAACATACACAACTAGACATAAAATATAAACTACCAAAAAAAAACCTATTTGCTCAAAATAAATACAATGATTAAAGCATATCAAAATGCTTTTTTTTTTTAATTTTAAATAATGAACTATACTATAATTCATGACTATAACATATAATTCATAATGATTCATGAATTATATAATCCATGAATTATATTCATGTCGATAAAAATAATTCATAATCATATTCATGGACGTGAATATAATTCATGACCATGACTATAATTCCTTTACTAATACAAAATCACGTCTCAATTTGAAAAAATTAGATATTCCTTATTAAAAATATTTTAATATTTCGGACATTAGTAATATTTAATTAATCCTTTTCGAACATTCTTGTCTTAGACTAACTTTTCTGAAGCCTATACTTAAAACAAGATTCGTACAAGAATGTCAAAATTGCCAATTTATATAAATAGTACAGAAAATGCATAAACAGCAAAAACTAAGCAACATTTAAAGCAAAAATATACTATTCAAACAAGGGATAAAATAAAAAGATACATCACATTTAAAAATTAATTTTTTTAAATTATTATTTTGTTCCTAACTTATGCTTTATTACAATTAGAGATTATATTTTCCTCAAGATGGGCTACTAGGATACTTCAGAGCTACTCAATATGAAGAAAAATAATATAACCACAAATTTAAAAATGCCATCAAATAATTAATGAATTTGAAATATCAATAACAAACTCAAAATTTAAAGTTCCAATATTTAGATACTTTGTGATTATCCTGACGACCATTTTCGCCAAACCCGATATTATCGCCAAAACGTACCTTCTGCGGCAATGACCACAAATTTTATATTTACTGTGTAATTCTTGACTACATGAGTTAGCTTTCTTTAGGGTATTTAAACTAATTTATGTGGCAGCAACTGCACAAAGATAATTATGTGTTTGTGCTTTAAAAGCTATCAAGGATTTTTGGCTGCTGAAATGATTTATAATAATATATATGGTTAGATTCAAGAATAATTAAATGCGTAATTATAAAAATAGAGATCTTTACTTTGTTTTTATTTTTTTTTTACACTTTTTGATCATGTACTTTTACACTTTTATTTGTTATTATTATTATTTGATAAATGTAATGAGTTTGGAATTTTTATTCTCAAAATTGCTTTGTATTATGATGGCGCCAAAGGATTCGAGCATTTCGACGGATAATCCCAAAGTACTAATATTTAAAATAAAAGCTTGAAGGATAGAAGAAATAGCTGAAATCATGTGATTCCTTTTAAAGCGTCAAACTACAGGAATGATTTGCAGTTTATATAACAATTTATTATCCAATTTTTTAGTCAATTAATTACAACCTCATAAATTACCAAGCAATTAAATAGAGATCAGAATCTAATATATTTAATAATACAGAATGCTATAAGCAAATATTTTAAAATTGCAAAACAAGTCGTAACAAATGTTTTTAAATTTTTAAAATAACATTGCACTCTTGTTGTTAAAGATAAAAAAAAAAAATTTAAATTGTGTGCAACCGTGCAACTTAGATAGAGCTTTAATTATCATACAGAACTAATTCATCATATAAATCTGCAAACTTATATGTCTACTAAACTCTAACCAATGCTAAGTATGATAAGTATTTTACTTCTTCATCTCAAACTATATGTTCGTAAACTCTACTTGAGACAGCAACCTGTAACCACTAAAGCCCTAGCCAATACAAACAATACTTAAACTGAACTCTGAATTGAAAACAGATTTTAAAAATAAAGCTTAAGATGTCTGTCCACCACAAATTCTGTACAGTACTGTCAGTAGATACAGATATTTTGTATATCAATGGTGAAAGAATAGCTGTAAAAACATTTAAGTACTGTAACATTTACACAATTATGTCTGAAAATTCAGTTTCGCGGTTATGTTGGTGTAGCTCATAAATTCTTCCATTTTAGGACCAGATGTTATCACTGATATTATGAACAAGTGAGAGAAAACCTATTTCAATACATCTTTATCTTGGATTTTTTCTTATAATTCTGATGGCTTTAAACTTGACAGAATCTAACAAATAAAAACAAAACAAAAATCTAAAAAATCATTGTCTCCTTCGATTTTCCACTACATCGTACCGATATTGTTTGCTCACCGTACCTGACGGTGTTTTATTTCACCGTACATGATATAAAACACTGTCCCATATTCCGCTGAAATGTTTTATATACTCTGAAAAAATAACACGAAACTTTTGAAACATACAACGCCAAAACTTTTAACAATCACAAAATTTTAAGAAGTAAAATATTTTTCCCATTTAAAAAAAAAAATTATAAGTGACCTAAAAACACAGAAATTTGTCTAAAAAATTCACAAGATGCCGTTTAAAGAAACTGTTAAAATACTTTGAAGGAGAAAAGTTAAATACATGCAAAAACTTAACAAACTGGGTCTGATCCTTTTTTTTCTTTTTAAATTTTCTAACAAAACCTTTAAAAAAATTACTTTTAAGCTTTTCTTGAAACGATAAAATAATTACAATTAAGCGCTAATCAACAACTACATTAACTGTAGAAAAAAGTAGAAGCATGCTCACAAGATTCTCTTCCTCCTTCCGCCTTTTTGAGCGGCGAGCATAGCGATCCTCGGGTGGTTTTATCGCTTGCCGAGAGGGTATACCATGAGGAATGTAATCTTTATCTTGGTCCGAGCAGTCTGAATCCTCATTTAGATTCTGATTCTGAAATTATCAAATTTTAACTATCAATATTCTAGCAGACCCAAAGTACTAAAATATTAATAGCACCACCCCCTCTAATGAAAGTTCTTTTTTCTTTTTTCAAACAACAAATTTTTGTATATCTCATATGGTTTAATGATTTTTTTTTAAACATACATTAATGATATCCATGAATTGTGAGATGAATTTTTAAACTTAGTGAATTATATAACTTACAATTTTCGATAAAAAAAAAAGATGATGATGAGCAAAAGAAAAAAAAAGTGAAAAGTCAAGCAAACTATTTTTCAATAATTTTTCAAAATAAATTTTGATAGAGCGAAGCATCATAAATGAATGTAGCAGTTGTAAAATGTGTCTCATTCATATTAAATAATTTAAAGCTAAATGGGACGAGACATTGTTTATGATAATAAAATCAATTTCAGCTCCAAAAAACAAAAAAACTTTACAGCTTTCAAAATTGAGTATTGAATGAATTTCTCATTAAAACGCAAGGACAAACAATATGCAGGAAATTATGAACTAAACACAAAAATATAAATGAATGTAACAGTTCCAAAATGTATCTCATTCATATGAAATAATTTGTAGCTAAAATGGTACGAGACATTGTTTATAATAAAATCAATTTCAACTCCAAAAAAGAATTTTACATCTTTCTAAATCGAGAATTTAATCAATTTCTCAATAATAATGGAATGTCAAACACTATGCAGGAAATTATGAATCAAACACAAAATCTGGATCATTCAAAAATACTTTAAAATGTCATCAATTAGATTACAAAAACAGTTTACAATGTATGATTAAAATTTGACTCTTAATTCAAATTTACCCAAAAATATTATAATATAGATATTAAAAATTTCACAGAAGAAAATATTACAAAATCAATAATATATGCAACCAGATAAAAAGTTACATTAAAAATACAGATGTAACTAAGTTTGCATTTTGGTAATTCTTTCAAGAAATGCATAGCAAAAAGACAAATGTATTGTCCAATGAAAAAAGCACGGAGACAGAATATCTTTTCTTTTTTTAAAACAGGTTGAAGAGAATTATAAAAGCAACTTAAAAGTTAGCATCATAAAAATTGCAAAAGTTGCAAAGAGATAAAAATATTCAAACAAAATACAAATTTCATAAAAACGAAACTGGATATAAGATGCCTAAAAATGAAATAATATTTTAGATAAAAATTAAAAACATTTGTTAACACACTTTAAACAATGTACAAAAATAATTAAAAAGCATATAAATAGCTGGTTAATCGAAATATCATGCACTCTATAAAATATTAATTTAAAACAAAAATAAAGAAGAAGAATCAGATTACCATTCAAAAAATAAAGTATTTGAAGTTTTCAAAAGCAAAAAAATTAAATATACTTTAAGTTTTGTTATATTTTTAGACAAGACACAGTTCACTATTCTACACTGAGTTAAAAAGCTACACTTTCATGTATGTTCAAAGTATGTTTTTATGTAAGTTCAAAAACCTCATCACCTCATCTACTTTAAACTCACTATAATATAAAAGCAAATATAAATCCTTAATTAGTGATAAACTCTAGTGTATAACTGTGAAAATATGAAGTAAAAATATCATTAAAAAAAAGAGAATAAAAAGCAGTTAAGACGCAAGGGAATTGAATGTTAGTTTTTGTTACAAAAAAAAAGGAACATTGTAAAAATAACTTAAAATGTTAATTTAAAAACAAAATAAAATGATTATCTTAAAAGTGTATTCAATTTGTTTGCTGGCATATTTTTAACAGAATACAATAATGTAATTAAAAACATAATATTTTCGTTAAAGAAAAACACATGAAATATTTTTCAAATCAAAAAAGAAATTTTAAAAATAATCAATACATTTTTTTCCTTTAAAAAATTTACATTCAATATATGCATTAAGCACAATAATTAGACATCAAAAATGCTTCAGAATTTAATTATAAAAAAGGTTAATGTTTAAATTTTAAGGTAACTATGTTATATTAAGATATATTTTTTTTCTCACATTATTTCAGTAAATTACTTTATTTGCTCTCATATTTTAAGTTAAATAACAATAATAAAAAATTAAGCTTTAATTATTATTTTTGACTTTTTGGGATTTACAGGGTGATTATGAACCCAACTCAAAAATTCTGAAAATTTCTCCAATAAAATCATTAATTACGTATTGGAAATAATTAACGTCCTCATAAATTTAAATCATTGATATTTTCAAAACATGAAATTCTAAATAAATTATATGCAGCATAATTTAAATTAATAATTATGCATAATGTTACTTTTATCTCTAATCATATATATTATTCTACTAGAAAAAATATTTACAAATGAAAGAGATGCCAAGTATAAATTCGAGTTCTAATATTTCTAAATAAAACATAAAAAATTTTTTAATACTTAAATGTGATCAATAATTTTTTGAAATTTTTGGACATCGGACTTCCGGAAACTTCCGGATTGCATTTACTGAACAATCTGGAAATCCGGATTTTTTCCGGACCACAATCATCTCCGGATTTAAGAAATCAAAATTAAGAATTCGGAAAAAGAAATTTAAAAAATAATCAATAAATTTATTTATTTTTTAAAAATTAACATTTAATATATGCATTAAGCAAAATAATTAGACACTAAAAATGTTTTAGAACTTAATTATTAAAATGTTAATGTTTAAATTTTAAGTTAACTATGTCCCACATTAACTGTAGNCACACTTTAAACAATGTACAAAAATAATTAAAAAGCAAATAAATAGCTGGTTAATCGAAATACCATGCACTCTATAAAATATTAATTTAAAACAAAAATAAAGAAGAAGAATCAGATTACCATTCAAAAAATAAAGTATTTGAAGTTTTCAAAAGCAAAAAAATTAAATATACTTTAAGTTTTGTTATATTTTTAGACAAGACACAGTTCACTATTCTACACTGAGTTAAAAAGCTACACTTTCATGTATGTTCAAAGTATGTTTTTATGTAAGTTCAAAAACCTCATCACCTCATCTACTTTAAACTCACTATAATATAAAAGCAAATATAAATCCTTAATTAGTGATAAACTCTAGTGTATAACTGTGAAAATATGAAGTAAAAATATCATTAAAAAAAAGAGAATAAAAAGCAGTTAAGACGCAAGGGAATTGAATGTTAGTTTTTGTTACAAAAAAAAAGGAACATTGTAAAAATAACTTAAAATGTTAATTTAAAAACAAAATAAAATGATTATCTTAAAAGTGTATTCAATTTGTTTGCTGGCATATTTTTAACAGAATACAATAATGTTTTCGTTAAAGAAAAACACATGAAATATTTTTCAAATCAAAAAAGAAATTTTAAAAATAATCAATACATTTTTTTCCTTTAAAAAATTTACATTCAATATATGCATTAAGCACAATAATTAGACATCAAAAATGCTTCAGAATTTAATTATAAAAAAGGTTAATGTTTAAATTTTAAGGTAACTATGTTATATTAAGATATATTTTTTTTCTCACATTATTTCAGTAAATTACTTTATTTGCTCTCATATTTTAAGTTAAATAACAATAATCAAAAATTAAGTTTTAATTATTATTTTTGACTTTTTGGGATTTACAGGGCTGATTGTGAACCCAACTCAAAAATCCTGAAAATTTCTCTAATAAAATCATTAATTACATATTGTAAAAATTCAAAACATGAAATTCTAAATAAATTATATGCAGCATAATTTAAATTAATAATTATGCATAAGTTTACTTTTATCTCTAATCACATATATTATTCTACTAGAAAAAATATTTACAAATGAAAGAGTTGCCAAGTATAAATTCGAGTTCTAATATTTCTAAATAAAACATAAAAAAATTTTTAATACTTAAATGTGATCAATAATTTTTTGAAATTCTTGGACCTCGGATTTCCGGAAACTTCCGGATTGCGTTTACCGAACAATCTGGAAATCCGGATTTTTTCCGGAGCACAATCATCTCATTTAAGAAATCAAAATTAAGAATTCGGAAAAAGAAATTTAAAAAATAATCAATAATTTATTTTTTTTTAAAAATTAACATTTAATATATGCATTAAGCACAATAATTAGACATTAAAAATTTTTCAGAACTTAATTATTAAAATGTTAATGTTTAAATTTTAAGTTAACTATGTTCTATTGACGTATTCTTCACTCACATAATTTCATTAAATTACTTTATTTGCTCTCATACTTTAAGTTAAATAACAATAATCAAAAATTCAGTTTTAGTAATCATTTCTGAATTTTTTGAATTTAAGAATAATTTTATAAAAAAACTAAATAAAACTTACAAAAAAAAAATTTCAAGAATATGCTTACTAAAGCAAGAATTTTATCTAAATAAAAGCTAACAACATTTAAGTCATGCAATAAAGAGAATGATGAAGCAATAGTGTAAAGCAATAAATGAAAAAGCACAAACAGAAGAGGTTTAGAAATATCCAATAATTGATTTTCAAGCAATAGAATGCATAGTAAAAAAAATTATATAAAGAAGGAATAAATTGCAAATAGATTAAAAAAATTTAAATTGATGAAAATGACAGTATGGAATTTTACCAAATCCCCAAGTGTGGCTCCTTCTTGAAATACATGATAAGGATATAAGATACGTTCATAGTGTTGACGTAATAGGGAGCCCACACCCCTGCCGGGTGGGTAACCCATTCGTGTTGCTATTCGAGACCATCTTCTTTCTCTTGAAACAATATCAGAACCACCTTCCTCTAAGACAACCTACAAAATAATTTTAAAAATAAAAAATACAAGGAATACACAGTAAACCATTAATTATAAAACACAGTAAACACCTTATATTTAATTTTTAAGATTGACATGCAAATTTAAACGATAAAAAAAACTTTACATTTATGTTGTAACAAAAGCTTTCACATTTTCAACATAAAATACCTAATGTGGAATAATTCATAACCCAAGAAATTCTTAATGTTAATCTTGTTCTACAAAAAAACAAAATCATAAAATTAAAAGTTAAGAGAAAAAATATCTTAACTTTGCAGTTAACAATGCTTTTTTAAACCACTTAAAAGTTAAAATATTGAGGAATCAAAAATCATATATTGAAGCACTTTTAAGGTTAAATGCTATTCAACAAAATAATCTGAAAGTAGTCAAAAACTCTAATACTAATTTTGCAATATTTCCCAAAGAATCAGAAATGCTAGATCTTGTTTTAGAGGTCTGCACAATTCTTGGAGAGCCTCAAATATAAAATTAAAAACAAAAATAAATGTCTATAAGGCTACCGTGCTTTCCATTTGACTGCACAGTGCCGAATGTTGGAGTCCCCAGAAATCAGAAAATGAAAAACTTGAAACTTCTTTAAATGGATGCTTAAATATTATACTAAAAATCTTCTGGCCGAATAGTATAACAAATAAAGACTTTTTTTTAACAAAAGCTAATATCTTATCAGTTTATGAAGAAATTTTAAAACGAAGATGAAGATGGCTCGGCTATATACTAAGAATGGATAGAAACAATACTGCAAATATTGCAAACTCACGGGTGCCTGACGGAAAGAGAAAAAGAGGGAGACTAACATGACAAAGATGTGTTAAGGAAGATCTTAGTAGAGCAGGATTAACTGGATAGTAAAAAGAGCAATGCCTGGTCAGAGACAGCAGTGTGTGAAGAAAAAGACTCGAGGCCTTATGTGCCAGTTCAGCAATAAGTAAAATAAAATGCAGAATTTCTAAAATTTAATATTACGATATTATAATCTTAAAGCTGTTTTTTATGCAAGTAGCAGCTAAGAAGAATATTTTTTTCCTAGGAGGGATTATTTTCTTCTTACTTTTTTTTTTTATAGAAAAAGCAGGTAAAAATTGCTAAGACTTTATTTTTTTAGAAATACATGTTATTTTCTAATGATCTTGCAAAAATTAAATATAGACCTGTAAGACTTACACATTAACTTCAGTAAAAGATTCATAAAGTCTATACAAGCATTAAATTAAATTAATAAGGCCGTATGTAAAAGTTACAAAAGTTCATAAAAAAATAACATTTGCAATATAATACAAAAATGACAAAACAAAAACTCACAGTAAACTGGTCAAACAGCAATTTTCTGAAACAAACTCAATGTAAAAGAAACACTTGAAATTAAAAAAAAACAACACCCTCTAAACAACGCCCATGCGCAGTAGAAGAAAAAAAAGGATAGGGAAGGGAAGGATTGCGTAACAGATTAATATAATTTTTAACTGGGGCTGCTCAGTTAAGACTTTAATTTCGCCCTGTTAAAAGAAATAATAAACTAATATTCCTCAATCATTTCTCTCAATAGAAAAGGTTTTGCTCTATGGCTTCCAGAGCTGGTACCCCCAGAAGACGTCCGCTTTGGTGGCCATATTTTTATTTCCATTGTTTTTCTTTTTTCTTTATTGCTTCAATTATTCTTTTTTTTGAAAATTTCAGCTAATTTGCAAGTTTCTGTCAAAGAAACTTCTGTTATTATAGATTTGAATATTTAGTATTCTTTTATTTATAGGTTTAATTCTGATTATGAATATGAATATTTACTTCGTTAGGATTTTATCCAGCTGGTTAAATTTTTAAAAGTTTCTCTTTTTTTTAGGGAGTGATGTATATTATTGAATTTTTTAAGTGATTTTAAATTATTTTTTAAATAAATACATTTTTAAAAAATTTCACATTTAAATGTTAATTTTTTCATAACTTCAGTTTAAAATATCAAAAAAGCTTTCAAGATGTTTATTAATTAATCTTTTTTTTTTAGTTCACTTTTTAAAAAAAAATTTATGCTCAAAGATTGTCTTTTAGTATGCTTTGAATTATTTTTTACGAACTACAAATTTTTCTCTTGTTTTGATAATGTGTGAAAATTACTTTTTGAAATGATTGCATTAAATAGCGTAAGAGGATAATTTAAAAATTTTTGAGAGTATCAAATTCAGTTATTGGACAATTGATAATATTACACAATTTGATAAATTTTCACGGTCTTAAATAAATGTCCTCTTAAAAATTCAAAGTGCCCTTTTTCTGTCTTATGGCCACTTTTTTATTCCTAGGGAGAACTCTGCTTATAGTTAAACATTCTTTTATAACTGACTACAACTAAAACAGATAATAAAACTAAACTCACCCTATACAGTGTGAAAAGATCAAGTGCCTTTCTTTCAACATTGGGAATTTTCAACGAAGAACCCTACAAAAATATATGTAAGAACTAAATATTTATCGCATAAAAAATCAATAAAACACAAATCTTGTCATAAAAAAATATATATATTTTTAGAGAAATAGGTAATAAAACAGAAAAAAAATAATTAAACAAAAACTTACTTGCAACTCCCAAAACTTAGCTATTTGATCTAAGAAGTTTAACTTTACTCTTGTTGTAGCCTGTAAAGAAACAAAAAATTTAAATTTGATTAAAAACAATAATGAAAATAAAATATACAAAATATAGAGCTGCCCAAATAAGTCATAATATTATTTATGGACTCCCCCTGTGGCAGAATTGTTGCGACACAGCAACAAAGTCGCAGAGCGCTACAGAGTTCTTGCAGAAAGATTTTTCCTTTGGGAAGTAAAAAATTTCAGTTTTTTCTTCTGCGGAAATTTCTGAAAGATATTATCTTTTCTTCAGAATTATATTCAAAAGATGTCTTTCTCGCGCATCCGATGAAAAAAATATGCTTGGGGTTTTTTAATTCTCATTTGAGATTAAAGAAAACTAAACAATAATAAAGTAAAAAATTTCTTTTTTGCAGAAATTTTCGTTCCATTTTTTTTTACGCAGTTATTACAATTAATTTCCACACTTATAACAACTGAACCTCGAAATGAAAACAGGCATTTAGCAACCCCTTTTTGATTCCGATTCACATGATTTTGCCGTCGATCTTTTCCCCCTGGTAGTTATGGCTAAGGATTTCATGTTTTTTTTTTTTAATCTTTTTAGAATGTGATAATGACTTACAAAATGTGAAAAAGGAAAAAAATTACTGTGTTTTCCCCCTACAAAATACAAGAATATCGCTCATAATATTAGAATTAAAAGAAAGAGACCATTTTTTTTACGCAGTTATTACAATTAATTTCCACATAGCTTTTAAAATCCGATATTTTTAATATGCTATTGTTTATTACAACTGAATCTCGAAATGAAAACAGGCGTTTAGCAACCCCTTTCTGATACCGATTTACATGATTTCGCTGTCGATCTTTTCCCCCTGGTAGTTATGGCTACGGATTTAATGTTTTTTTTTTTTTTTTAATCTTTTTAGAATGTGATAATGACTTACAAAATGTGAAAAAGGAAAAAAATTACTGTGTTTTCCCCCTACAAAATACAAGAATAACGGTCATAATATTAGAATTAAAAAAAATATTACATATTCAATTGAAAAAATTATTTTATTTAATTCAAATTCTTTGTTTTTCCGAAAAAATTCTGTCACATGGTGGAGACCTTTATATCATTAAACGATCCTCGCTTTTTTAATAAATAGTGTAGAAATTACTCATACATAAACAAAATACTACTTTGCTCTCATGCTCCCAACTAACCTCTAATGAAATCTCTCTAATCTTTTAAAAATTAATATAACATACAGAAACAACTACATTTAAGTTAACAAAATTCTTATTCAGGGTGCGTAGCCAAATCATTCAACAAAAAATAAGCAACTTTTAAGTACTTTAAGCACTCAAAAAATATTTTTAAGCACTATATACATTAACAAAATGCAAAATAATTTTAAAAGACTTTACATGATCATGATATAAGTTTTTTTCATAGTTTTTGACAAAGAGCTTTTTCTTGATCATATTAGCCATCAAAAAATAATCAAGAGATTTTGCGGCTGGATTTCAGAGGGTGGAAAATGAAGCTTGAAATTGAGAATATCTTGCAAAATGCAGCAGAGTTGCACTTGAAAGTGCAATAATCTCACTGAACCCAGCTCACTTTGCGGACTTGCAAGTACGCTAATATAGATTGTGGTTGAAAGAATTGTGATAACGTTGAATAGAACAATGTGAAAAACACATTTTTGCGTAATACTTGGTGGGAATTGACATGGTAAAGAAAAAATCTAATTTTAGAAAAGGGAAAATTAAGCACTTTTTAAAAACACCAAACAAAAAAAGCACCTTTCAGGGCTTTTAAAAAACGAAAATCGAAAATAAGCACCTTTAAGCACTTTTTAAAAACGCTACGCACCATTTTATTAAGTCAAAATTGCAGGTTTTCGATAACTCAAAAACAAAGTTTAATATAATTGCTTTTAAAATTTATGTGTCATGCAACCATTTTTATATACATAAATATGTATAAATAAAATTTCTGAAAATTAAGGAATTCTCAATTACACGTATGAGTTCACAATTACACTGACACTACTACACTATGGTGATCAGGGGTCTGTCTAGGTTTTTTTAGGTCTGTCTAGGTTTAGAGGTACCTATTCTGTGAAAATCTAGACATATATTGTGAATATGTGATAACTCAAAAACAAAGTTTAATTGCTTTAAAAATTTATGTATCATGCAACCATTTTTATATACATAAATATGTATAAATAAAATTTCTGAAAATTATGGAATTCTCAATTACACGTATGAGTTCACAATTACACTGACACTACTACACTATAGTGATCAGGGGTCTGTCTAGGTTTTTTTAGGTCTGTCTAGGTTTAGAGGTACCTATTCTGTGAAAATCTAGACATATATTGTGAAAACTAAAATTTATATCAAAAAATCAACACAAAAATGTGGTAAAGTATGAAAATATTTTCAAAAATTTTCACTACAAATAAAAATCATTTATGACTGTTAAATTTTTATATATTTTTCATCATACATTCAAAAATAATTTTGGCCTTAAAATTGCATCCAAATTTAAAAATCCTTAAAAATCACTGTCCATAGTTAAATTTCAACTTGAATTTAATAAAAACATTTTTAACAGTACTAGCACTAAAAGTTATTTTCCTTATGAGAACATTTTCGACTAGGTCATAATAAAAAAAATTTCAAAGAGAAAAAAAATGTTTCATAAAAAAATAAAGGTCTGTCAGAATAAATTGACAAAAGTGTTTAAGATAATGTTCCAATGTTTAGAATAATGTTTGAATTTCGACTTCCCGTACAGTTTATAGCGGGAGAGTCTAGTTGTTTCATTTTAAAAAACTCAACGAAAAAAAGCATGCTTTGATATGGCGTAAGCGACTTGTTAGGCTTACCACCTAGCACTATCCGACCAAACACATGCTACTTTTTCTTAAAAAACAGCTTGCGGAAAAGCTCCTCTTTTCCATAGATTGTAACAAGAATGGGGTTTGCATGAGAACTTACTTTTTTTAAAGTATTTTGTGAAACTACAGTTTTTCCTAAAAGTTGAATTTGTGAAGGTACCGCTAAACGGTAGTAAATTTAGCCTGGACAGACCCCTGATGATTGTATTTTAAATTATAGGTTATAACATGCACAATCTAACATGATTATTAACAAAAATTAAATTTTTAGACCAATTTTGTTAAATAATTATTTTTGTAACACCACCAAGTTTGTTAAATAATAATAATAAAAGAATAAGTCTTTCATTTGTTAAGGGACAAGGGAGAGAAACTATTATATTTTTTCAATTGAAAATCTGTGCAAATTTTGTAGAATTTAAACCAATTTAAAAAAAAAAAAAAAAAAAAAGCTTACATGGCATGTTAACTGAAGTTATACACATGTGAATTGCTATTATGACGCAGAAGAATTAGCTTCGCAGATGGTATGTATGAAAAGGGCTTTTTCTTCCCATGCCTGGCTGAGAGCATGGTGGGATCCCGAAAAATCCCGCTGGGTGAAAAGGAGCGTCAGTTACCTTAATTGAAGTGGAAGAAAAAGCGCCAATACCATACAAATCCCGTTCTCGTTGCAATCTATGGAAAAAAAAGGGAGCTCCTCTACAAATCGGTAGCATGTGCTTGGTCAGTTAGTGTGGTGTGGTAAGCCTAACCCGCCGCTTATGCCATAAAGCAACCTTTTCTTTAAAAATGAAATGACAAGGCCTGTCAAGTTTACAGGACGTCAAAATTTGAACTATTGTTTTAAACATTATTCTAAATTTATTCTAATAGACCTTTATTTTTTTTAATGAAACTTTTCTTTTCTCTGAACTTTTAGTGCTACTACTGTTAAATGTATGTTTTTATTAAATTCAAGTTGAAATTTAACTATGGACAATGATTTTACAATAGCAAAAATTATTTTTGAACATATGGGAAAAATAAATACAGAAATTTACCAGTCATAAATGATTTTTATTTGTAGTGACGATTTTCGAAAATATTTTCTTATTTTGCCATATTTTGTGTTGAATTTTTTATATAATTTTTAATTTGCACAAATTATGTCTAAATTTTCACAAAATAGGTACCTCTTAAAAAAAAAACCGAGACAGACCCCTGACACGTCATAGAAGACAAAGGAGGGAGAAGAAATGTGAAGACTACATAATTCACTAAAAATAAAATTACAAAACAGTAAATTCTACAAGAAACTTACTTCAAGCTCATTTAATCTCTGCATACGAGGAGTAAACCGGAAATTGTCCACGTCTACAGCAAATGGTGGCTGCCATTCCTGAAAAAAATTTAGGATTTTAGAACTAATCAAATAAACCTACAATTAAATTTTAAAGATACTTATTAAATGTAAATTGTTATCCAAGTATAAAACTATTAATAAATGATGTAAAAATTAGACATTTAAATTAAAGCATTTCTTGTTAGAACTATTTTCTAGCAATAAGCTTCAGTTTAAAACAAAGAGCAAATCAATGAAATATGTATTACTGTTAATTTAAAGGTGTCTAAAAGCTAATTTCTGCTTTCAAATATCACTGCTTTTAAGAAATTTTGTTTGTTAAACTAGACCTATTTACCTTCAGATAGGGGTGTGCAACCTTTCTGAGTGAAGCACAGCAGGTAGAATAACAAAGGGCCGCACAGATATTTAGATACGATAATAGCAAATAATCAAATTTTTATATAAACTTAAGAACTAATTTCTTTTTTATCGGTTAACCTGGAATTTATCAATAATATTTTCATAAAATTAAAAACTTTTAATTATAAAAATTCATTCCAAAATAAAAAGACAGATATTAAAAAAAAAATTTCCCTTTTATCAAAAAATTTATGTATTCAAAAAAATATAAAAATAGGATAAAAGAAATGGGATTTTTTTTTTTTTTTTTATATCATTTAGTACAAAAGTCATTTTAAAATAAATTCAAACTTAAAAAAAGAAAAATGTCATCTTCACAGAATGAAAGTATAAAAAATAAATCATTATATACATATTTTAATGAGTAATATTAAGTCAAATTATTTATAGAGCTTAAATAAAAACCAAAAATTAAAATAAAATTATAGTACAAAATAAGAGTCAATATTTATCTGGTAATACTTCAGATAGTATTTATATTTCCATTATTATTAGAGATTTCATGAATTTTAAGTGGGAAATGTCTTCTTTTTCATGAAAAAAATCAGGTAAGTTACAATTTTTTTTTTTTTTAAATTATAAACATTGAGCAGCTTAAAAATTCATGTTTTCCTACACCTCTCCAATTCTTCATGTCATGTTCCATGCCTCGAATTCTTCATAAAGATATTTTCTCACAGAAAATTCACTAAAATTTTTCGCAATAAAATTTCACTAATTTTTTTGCAAAAATGGGTATTAAGTTAAAAATCCAGGATTAGCCACAGATCTTAAAAATTGCAATACAATAAAAAATTAATAATTAAAATGTATTTTCAGATTATAATTAGTAAAACATTTAGTTAGATGCCTAGTTATATTTTAAATGCATTAATGCATACAGCAGTGGCGTAAGCAGAATTTTTTCAAGGGGGGTGTTCATAATTTTTTGAAGCTACTAAAAGAAATTCGAGTATGTAATAAAGCACTATTATTTCCCTAATTTAGATAGCTAGAGAGTTTTGACTTTTTATTTAGACAACATTGTTTAGTTAAATTTTGATTTGATTTTTTAAGTTTAAGAACATAATGTAATATCTTCTCGCATGTAATATCTTCTGAAAAAAGTCCAATGTCATATGGGTGGGAAGTAACACTTTGAGGGCCACTTTCACATTCATCAGATTTTGTTATGCTAGAAACGTTTTCTTCAATGGAAGTATCACATATCTGTACAACAGAAAAACTTACATTGTACTCCGTTCTCCCTTTTATATAATTTTTCACCGCATCTCCAAAATTCTTGAATTGTCACAAAGACGACAGAACGTCTAAGATTCCAGAATCATTGCGTAAAGACCTCGCGAATGACAGCCAGTCTCGAAAACTATCGCGACTGGCAGAATAGAAAGGAGCTTTTCAGTATTCTGAGAAATACAGTGAGATAAAAAGGTAGGCATAAGGCAAATAAAAATATATAGTCTTAAAAAATAATACCCGCATAATTTCTACTAAAATGTTTATTTTTGCCATTTTGTCTGAGCTCAAGGGGGGTGCTCAAACCCCTCCCTTGCGTACGCCACTGGCATACAGATTTAAAACATTCAGAGTAGGAATGCCAAACTTTTTGAGAGAAGGGCCTCTTGTATAACAAGCTAACCAATAAAAAGTAACAAAGCCAAATACATATTAGCTGTAATTATTTTCTTTAAGCATTACAAGTACAAGCCCTAAAGCCTGTCCATCTGCCAACTCAATAATATAAATAAACATAAAATTAATTATGCTTCTAAAAATAAGGAAGGAAAAACTATAATGCTCTGATTTAATTACTCCTTAGTTAAAAATCATAATTTATTATTTCACTTTTAGAAAATGCATAATTTTTTAAAAATACTTTAAGGATTCTTCAATTTTAGCAACAAAAAAAATTAATATATCTAGAATGCAGCCGCATACTACACATTCAAAACTACGATCTTTCATCAAAAATTCTTCAGATGGAGCTGCAAGCTACCTACCAGAGGATGACAGATCTTATTTGGGTTCAAAAAAACCCTTTTTCGAGTAGCTACTTTTTAAAAAAAATGATTCTGTACAGTTTTTTATACCTTCATATAAATTAAGACTGTAAAAGATAACCAATTCCATATTTTCTGTCTCAGTGATTCTGCTAAACTTCGCAAAATACAGATACTTACGACCCAGAATTTACAATTTTCAGGGTCCTTTTTTATTAATAATGTGTCCCTTTGTAAAATATAAATATAAAATAATATAAATCTATATTTTAAAACCATATACAGGGGTGATTGTGAGCCCAAGTCAAAATTCCGCAAAATTTCTTGAGTAAAAAAAAAAGTTTACATCGAAAAATTAGAGAAAAAATTAAACAAGGATTTTTTTTCTTCCTTTTCTCAATATTTCTTAGTTTACTTAAAATACATTTAAAATTTTAGATACACCTATACCATTTGCACATACCTATGATGACCTGGAGAAGTAATTGAAATTTACAAATATGCCTTTTTTTCTTGAGTTTATGATTATAATAACTATTTACTGATAAAAAAATATTAATCTTGAATATAAGCTTATAAAGCATTTGGCTCTCCTATACAAACAAGTAAAATAAACTGTGTTTTTAAGTTCCACCTTTGAAAATTTGATTTCAGGAAACTTTTGTGATCAATGATTTTTTAAAACGTCTGAACCTTCAATCTCCGGAAACTTCCGGATCACAGTTAGCGAAAAATCGGGAAATCCGGATTTTTTCCGGAGCACAATCAGCCCTGCATACATAAAAAGTATTGAAGGAAAAATTATGTGATTAGTAATTTAGTCAGTTATTTACCAAACAATTCACAACAAAATTTCTTTATCAATTCAACTAAAAATTACTTTAATTTTCTCCTTCTGTTATTAATACAGAAAAAATAGTAACTTTTGTTTTTCTAAATTTTGTTTAATCTTCCTCACATAAATCTTCGAAATCAATTTATTTTAATATAGGAGAATTACCCATACCCAGTACGTAATATAACATATCTTCAGAATCCTTTATGATTTTTGGCATATGTGCCATAACGAATAAGAGAAATCACTGCTGTCTATAACAGTTACACACTCCAAGAGGTCAAAAACTAAGTCAGGTCATAATATGCATAAAATTATGAAGAAAAAAAAACTATTATATTTTAAAAAAGTATGATTTATACAGGGTTCCCACTCAATTTCAGAAAAAAAATTCTCTGATTTTTCCAGGTATACCAGGTAAAGTTCAATGAAAACTGAGACCGTATTTTCATCAGAAAATTTTGATTATTTTATTTGTAATGTGAAACATTAGATTTCCTGTGTATAAAAATAACATTAAATGAGGATGGAAACACATTAGCTTGACTAAAATGTGAAATTTTTACAAAAAATAATTGTAATAGATGTTAGAATTATTTAACTCAACTTTCAATAACTGATTACTAATACTGACAATTTTAAGGTTTCCAGGTTTTTTTAAAATATTGCAACTTTCCCTGACTATTCCCAGATTTTCCCTGACCCGTAGGAACCCTGTTTATAGAGGTCCAGGATAAAGGAGAATATAAAATATTTAGAGATAACAATGAAATGGGGATATTTCCGTATCGTGATCTGTTGCACCAATGTAAATCGCCAAGGTGCCAAATAGATTTCAAACTAGGAAATTTTTTTTTAAAAAAACATGTAGATGTAGAATGGCTACGAAATACACCTATCAAGTTTGTCCCTTTGTGTGATGTTTTTTTTTTTTTTTTTTTAAGTTTGCCTCCTGCCGCTGCCCAGAAGTTGCCAGAACTTGGCGATAATTCTGCCACAGATCATGATAAGGAAACCTCCCCAATAAAATCACATATTTTTTAAACAGGAATCCTACTTACTTAAATTATGAAAAATAACTTAAAGGTAAAAAGAATGCAAAATCTCTGTTCCTTGCAATATTAAAACTTTTTACAAGTAGAAAACAATAAGTAACATACATTCAAAATGATATTTAAGGGCAGAAATACCTTAACTTAGTTGGGCTCTAAAAATTTTAAAACTAAGATTAATATTTTTGCTAGATATATTCTAATAAATATTCTTGTAAATTTTTCATAGAGTATAATATTATTCTCATAAACCCCATAATTTTTTCAAAGGATAATTAAATAAAAAATTTAAAATATTCCACGAGAAGAATACTCCCGAATTCAAAATCTTTTAACATAATTAAAAACATAACAACATAATTAGGACAACAGAGACATTAAAAATAGTTGGTATGAAATAACGAAAGATAAAATAAGAGAGTTTCATCTGCGAATAGAAATCCGCTTTTGTAGCACTTCTTCGAATTAATGGCGATCATATGCTGAATGACTAAAAGACAATTAGTCAATTTACTCCAAATAAATTGACATTCATAAAGAATAAATTTTAAAAATATCATTCACAGATGAATTTAGCATACCGGGGGAGGTTTTATTTTGCATATACCAGTCTGTTCAGCAATAGGTCTGATTTTTGCAATGTAGGCTAGAGGATCTTTAAACTCTTCAGCTGTTGGTTCAAAAACAGGGGCCTCGGGAGGAGGTTTAAACTCAAAATCTACAGCATTCATTTCACTGCTTCAAATTCTAAATAGCCAGAAAAATTAAAAGTACACATATTGGCTATTAATAATGATACTTAAAATTTTTTCGGTGACATAATGTCCATATCACAATCTAAAATCAACAATCACAAACTTCATTTCCCAAACATAGCAAACAAAAAATACTTTACACGAAATGACTCGGAGAACATAATCAAATCACAAATCTCTATTTACATAGAAGGAAAAATAACAATTTTTTTTCTATTTTAACCGCTGGAAGCGCTGTAAAGTGTGAACATAAGAGCTCCATAAAAATAAAAATTCAGTACTATTTAAATTCTTTCTTTGATTTAAATGATTATTTAAATAATTTTAAAATAAAGGCAAATTTTTTCTCCGACATTTTTTCAAAATTAGAATCAAGCTATAAGCTATAACTCAGAGCTAATTTAATAAAATTAACTGTTCCCGTAATCGTAGTCCATTTTTCAATATTTACGTGAAAAAAATTTTCTCATAGCGAATTCGTCATCAAATTCAAAAATTATAACTATCAGACTGTAAGTCTTATTTAGTTGAATAGATGTTTTTTTATTCCAAAACTATTGCTTGTTTTTCACTTTAAAATCTTTTGAAATTCACTTGTTTACTATGATATACTTGTTTATTGTGATCTGGCTTACAGCATGTTTGTTAACCCAATATATTCACTATTTCATAAAGAAAGATTCATTATAATATTTATGCTTATTTTAATACCTAATACTTGTTTGTGAATTCATGTAATCGATTAAAATTTATGCTTAACTTGCGCTAAATTATTATCGTAAACATTCAAATCGTGCCGAAATATCGAATATTTTTAATTTATCATGCCCATTCTTATTTTAATCTGGTAGTATTACTTTCTTAAAAAAGAATTTCATCCTCCAGAAGAAGGAACCGGTTCGTTACCAGAGAAACAAAAATTAATTACGGAAAATACATGAGCTACTGTATAGATAATGGTAGCGTAACTACCACTGCAATTATTAAACATCAATTCACTTGTATGTAATCGACATGCTAACTCGATTCTATCTTGATGTACCTTTTGATCGATGAAGGTTAGCATGGTCGATTACTCTCCCCACTATATCTATTAATTTATCCTGCTTAAAAAAAGTGTATGCTGATTGATTGAGTCACTGACAAGATGATCTTTAAAACATTTGTTTTATAAGTCTATGGACGTAAGTTAATTAATAACTGTGAAACTGTTCATAAATAATGTGGTAAAACTTTTTTTAAAATCTTGTATTTGGATATTTCCATATGGATACTTCTTCACACAAACTCAGCCGTCAAATATTAAAAAATGAAAACAGAGGTTTTGTTTCTTAAAACTTTCATTGAACAACTAATCCATTTTTGGATTTACAATTAGTATTGATATTCTACTAGTAGCCTAGTAATTTTGAACCGAACTTAAAAGACAAGGGATTTCCTAGATCAAGCATCAGGACAAACTTACCTTTGCGGAGCAATTAACTCATGCATGTAAATTATAATCAAAAAATTTTTCTTATAACAAAAACAAGTTTTGGGTTTTTTAACATATATCTTTTTCCCCATTATCTATATAAATATTTTTAGTATGATTACAATCAAATGAGAAAAAAAGGAATTTCCTCAAAAGATTTCACTGTTATAAGTTCAATTTCTAACGTGAATGTTTTTTGCCTCAAGCAAATTAATTTTTAATTCTTTATATATCATTACATTCCTTTAATGCAGTTATCCTTCCACTTATGTAGTTATCACCATGCTATATTTTTAAATATCTGTATGACAAAATTTAAATTAAATTATTAAAATTGAGGGGGGAAATGTTTTGCTTGTTCTTATCTAATAAAAAATTTAATGAAGTTGTATAAAATTTTTATTTCTTTCTTAGTTTTTTAAAATTTCAATGTTTGACAGATCTTCGATCCAGTATTAACGATGCCAGTATTATGGATTTATATATTGTATATTTATCCCTTTAGCCTAAGAAAACCACACCAAATTAAACTCGAAAAAGCTATTTTTTTAAAGACATTAAAAAAAAAGGCTAGTGTATCAATTATTTGTTTGTTGTCTACTCTAGTTATTTATATGCCTGTTTTTATAGTGTTTTAATGTGGTTCGAGCAACTACCCATGTAGAAATATCCCTTAAATACCTATATAATCATATTTCAATATAATATCTTTATCAGGGTTGCAAAAAACCTGTGTTTTTCTAGAAAAACCCAACCCAGGTGGGTTTTTTATGTTTTAATGGAATTTTTTTCTGAAGAGAGTGCAGGGATAAGTACCTTATTTTAAAACAGCCTATTTTAATATTAATAAATTTTAATTTTATAAATTGACTTAACATATAGGTAATTAATAATTAATACAAATAAATTGATGCAAAATTCTAAAAAAAGTTTCCTCTGAAATCACTATACAAAATGTTATATGTATTCACACACATCCCACATTTGAAACTTATTTTAACGCAGGATTACTTTTTATTTATATTTTAGTCTTAAANCTTATCTTTGCAGAGCAATTAACTCATGCATGTAAATTATAATCAAAAAATTTTTCTTATAACAAAAACAAGTTTTGGGTTTTTTAACATATATCTTTTTCCCCATTATCTATATAAATATTTTTAGTATGATTACAATCAAATGAGAAAAAAAGGAATTTCCTCAAAAGATTTCACTGTTATAAGTTCAATTTCTAACGTGAATGTTTTTTGCCTCAAGCAAATTAATTTTTAATTCTTTATATATCATTACATTCCTTTAATGCAGTTATCCTTCCACTTATGTAGTTATCACCATGCTATATTTTTAAATATCTGTATGACAAAATTTAAATTAAATTATTAAAATTGAGGGGGGAAATGTTTTGCTTGTTCTTATCTAATAAAAAATTAAATGAAGTTGTATAAAATTTTTATTTCTTTCTTAGTTTTTTAAAATTTCAATGTTTAACAGATCTTCCAGTATTAACGATGTCAGTATTATAGATTTATATATTGTATATTTATCCCTTTAGCCTAAGAAAACCACACCAAATTAAACTCGAAAAAGCTATTTTTTTAAAGACATTAAAAAAAAAAGGCTAGTGCATCAATTGTTTGTTTGTTGTCTACTCTAGTTATTTATATGCCTGTTTTTATGTATATATATAGTGTTTTAATGTGGTTTGAGCAACTACCCATGTAGAAATATCCCTTAAATACGTATATAATCATATTTCAATATAATATCTTTATCAGGGTTGCAAAAAACCTGGGTTTTTCTAGAAAAACCCAACCCGGGTGGGTTTTTTATGTTTTAATGGAATTTTTTTCTAAAGAGAGGGCAGAGATAAGTACCTTATTTTAAAACAGCCTATTTTAATATTAATAAATTTTAATTTTATAAATTGACTTAACATATAGGTAATTAATACAAATAAATTGATGCAAAAGTCTAAAAAAAGTTTCCTCTGACATCACTATACAAAATGTTATATGTACTCACACACATCACACATTTGAAACTTATTTTAACACAGGATTACTTTTTATTTATATTTTAGTCTTAAAAAATATTTGAGCAAAATATTTTCTTTGCATAGAAAGCGTATTAAAGGCACTGACTAATCAATAGCCATACAGTCAAATCTAGCCAGCAAGGTGACTCACGCGTCGCCAACATAGTTAGTTTCTTCACCATAGGTTAGTTTTTTTAGGCTAGACTACATATATATTTAAATAGAATAGCTCATCAATATAACAAAGGATAAAAAAGAAATCAATCTTAGAAAAACCCACTTTAGGGTGGGTTTTACCCAGCAAAACCTGGGTAGGTGGGTTTTTTGCAACCCTGATCTTTATTGACAATGAAGCTACTGTATATTTACAAGGATTTTTAGATTCTTGTATTAGCAGCTGTGTATTCATGGGATTCAATTTTTTTCTTTGTTTTTCACCTGATTAAAGTGAAATCTCCAGGAAAGACCCTTTTTATGTTGCGTAGCGTCCACTTAGGAAGCAGGGAATTTTTTCCATACCATTTGTGTTGGAGAAAACCTTTAGGAACGACCGTCATCACCTCCTCCAACGACCGTGCAAACTTCTGCACCAAATTCGAAAAAAATCAAATAAGAAAGCACGCCGAAAAAAAATTCAAAGCAAAAAATAATAACAAATCAAATAAGTTGATTAAAATCTATCCGAAATATTCATGTGAGTCTCTTATTTAGAAAGCTATTTCATTTTGGCCATCGCTGAAAGAGATCTACAACCTTATGTTGCAGACAAAGTGTGCCAAAGATGATGCTATCAACGGTTTATTTTAAGAGTTGAAAGCTAAATTGGGGGAAAAAAGTTATTTTAGTAAAAATTTAGCATCTCAAAGAAACCTCTTTACATTTTTTAAAGCTAACCAATTTTTTAGATGTAAATTTAAATACAAACTTAAACAAAAAACATGACTGTTCATTTATTTGAAATAGTACTATCAGGGTGCGTACAGACTCCTTATACTCCTTGGAAATAAAAAAGTCTCCAAGGAGTACTTGGAACTACTTAGATTTCCAAATTAGTCCTTAGAAACTCTTTATATTATTGCATTGCATAGATGAACTTACTAAGTCCGCTGATGAATTTGCTGTCCAAGCAAGGAAACTAAATGATGACTTATCTGTCAAAATCTAATAGTTTACGGAAAACTTTAAAAGAAAAAAAATTTTATTGCAAGTGTTAGAAGAAAAATAATAGCAAATTTAATTTTACATGTTACAAGCAAATTTAATTTTTTATTTTTTGGTTTGAAATGTCTTAGATTTTCTTATGTATTCAAATTTAAAAATATAAGATTGTAAGGTTTTTATGTTTATCTTTAACATCTGTACTTTAACAAGATTTATTACAATATTTGAAACTGGAAAATGTATTTATGTGTAAAAGTGATAATTTTATTTATAAAGTTTGATAAAGTCAAAATTTATTTCAAAAGGGCTAGAAAAAAATATGCAAAATTTTGCAAGTTCCTTATAATAACTGCTTTTTAATTTTAAAAAAAAAAATTCTATTTATCTTTTACACAAAGTTTTTACATTTTTGATAAGTCCTTAAAATTTTGGACTCCTTGGATTTCTTCTTCTGATATCTGTATGAACCCTGATACTATTCATAATTGGTAAGTTTGTTAAATCAATTGAGGTAACCCCCTAAGAACGAACAACCCCTATAATGACCATTTTACTGCGGAACAGAGAGGGGTCGCTCCTGAGAGTTTTCACTGTACTGCGACTGTAACTTATTTACTACTGAAGTTTTTCATACTAATCTAACATAAATTTACGTGCCTCTTTCGATAGATACTGAATTTTTTCTTGTTTTTTGGTCCATTCTAGGGAATTGAAAATTTGAAACCTCTATCTATCGAGCAGTATCTTCCGCAAAAAACTATTTTGATGTACTAATTTTAATGAATTATTTTTGAGATACTTCTTGTTTTCAGTTCAAGAAGTTCTATATTGTAATGAAATGATAATGTTTTGCTTAAAAAGAAAAATAATAAGGTTTGTAAGGAATAAAATTAGCATGTGTCATTCCTTTTTTTTATGGATATTTTAGATAACATTAGTTATTTTTTTTTTGCAGAATTAGTCGTCAAAATAAAAATCAGTATATTAGTCGTCAAAATAAACAATATATATAGTTTTTAACACTGAAATGCCTGTTATTAATATAGCATATTAATATTATTTTAATAGATAATATTAGGTGAATGTCAACATATTTTTTTATGGAATTTATTTTTAAATTTATGTGTGTGTAATAATTTGTCTTTGACTTTTAAATATAGATATTAAATCAAGATGAGTAGTAGATTTTTTGCAACTGGGTCTGAGTCTGAAAGTGAATCTTCATCTTCAGAAGAAGAGCAGATTCCACAAAAACAACAGGGAATAACATCGTAAGTATTTGTATTATTATCAACAACAACAAAAAAAATTATTCTCTGGAAAAATTTTTTTAATGACAAGTTTGGTAAAAATAAATTTAAAAAAAGGCACATTTATTTGTATACTTAGTAAAAGAATTTGTTTGGTAAAATTTTTTAAATACTCATTTTCTATATTTAGGAACATGTTATACATTACAATATTAATTTTGTCGACCAAATCTTTAAATAAGGCAGTCTTCAGTTAAAAAAGGTATTTTGTAATTTCTTTCCCATGTTAATATTTCTTGAATGTCATGTAACTTGTTCTTTCATTAGGCTCTATAATCGTTTTTAATATTTCTCTATAACTGTATTAAATAACATTATTAAATATTTCATACACATAGGGTGTGTAGAGAGTAAGTTATTTGTCTAAATACCTAAGAAAATTCCAATAGTGTTCAAATAAATACGTACAAAATCCAGTACTTGAACATTAATTTATTGTTCTTTCAATGATTTATTTTTATGAATATTCCTTCTTCAAAACTCCTTCGAGTATGCAAAGTTATCTACCAAAATTGTGATCTGTCCAAGGGTGCACGGTGTCAGTCCTCGTTAAACTGTAAGTGGTCAATTTTGCAAGCAAGTCGCCAGGCTACCAAAGGGGATGAGCCATCCCTTCTGTAGAGGCTCTAAAGTGAGATGGCATGTTTTAGGATCATCCTCAGGGAAGTTTCCCTGACCGACTCAAAAAAATCCAGTTTGCAGCTCCAGTGCGACTCTTTATATCAAATTACTACTATTCAAATCATACTTAATTTTTATATAAATAATAATGAAAAATTATAAATAAGAAATCATTATAAAAAAAAATTTGTAGAATTCTAAAATAAAACTTAATCAATGATTTGCAATAAAAAGCCTACAGTTTTCTAAATTTTTCCCGTTCAAGCCTTGACTATGTAATAATAAGTTATTAATAATAGCGATAATACTAAACTGCTTAATAAAATATTACTAAATTGCTATATTATATTGGTTTTAAATTTTTTACTGGGGCTCTTAAAATGTCATGTAAATATGTTATAAATAAATTTATCTTATCAATGAAATAAATCATTATTACAATAAATGTCATATAAAGATTATTAAAATGCAAATGGTATTTTTCTTTTTTTGTTATTAAAATTTCAAAAGTACTTTGAGAGCTTTCTTCCATTTTTTTAAAATCTAATTTTATATGTTTTATCTATTATAATGTTTAATTTGTTTTTTTAGGACTTTCACTTTCAGTGATGAAGAAGAAGAACAAAAACGTGTTGTGCGCAGCGAGCGAGAGAAAAGGTATCTACATGGTTTTTCACACTCAATAATTTCAAATTATTTTAAAATAATTTGATTCTGTTATTTTATGTATAATTTTTTTTTCTTCATATTATCATTATAACTGTTTATAGTCTTTTCCTCTTTTTTTTTCCTTCTCATGAATAAAATTGTAAATTATTAACCTGCAATATACATAATCATAATATACCTCATGAAGAAAAACCTTTAAGTGGCCCTGTTTAGGCTGCTTCACTGCTGCTTACAATTTCCTTTTATGCTATCAATGCTTAAATTATATGTAATGCCAGATATCAATTTTTTTTATTCCTTCTAAAACTTATCATAAGCTTTGATAATGAGTATTATCTTTATTTAATTTTAAAAAAAGCTAATTTATGTAAAGATTATTTTCTTAAGTGTCTTGTTTCATTTTTTTTTTTCATTTTTTTTTCTTCAAGATTTTGCAGTGTAAAATTTATTTTCTTTCTCTTTCAATCACTAATTAAATCTTCTTAAGAAGTGTATAGTTTATATTTTTGAAAAAATTATGTATATTATAATTATTTTGTTACTCTTTATTTAAAATTTTTAATTATTGAAAGAAGTCCTAAAAATATCATCTGATACTGCCTTTTTCTTCCTACATTTAATTTAGTTATGGTTTGAAGTATTGATGCTTTTTTTCTCCTTAAAAAAGCTTTTTTTTTTCTGTTTTAAAGAATACACTAAATTTTTGATTAAAAAGCTGAACAGTTCTAGAACTTATTATTTGTGTTTAGTATAGCTATTGTCTTGTAATTGCTAAAAGAATTATATGTATAAAGTTGTAATAGACAAATAAAAATAAATTTTTTGTGCTGTTTTGTTTGAAATTATAGTCATTAAATATGTAAAAGAAAACATACGGCCTTGTGTTTGATTACTACGCAATATCTTCTGTTATTTAGCATTAAAATAAGTCTGGGTAGTATGCATCTGAAACAAATGCCATACCTCATAAATTGTTAATTGCATAAATATTTTATCTGTATTTAAAAAAGTTATATTTAAGCTTCTCTGTTACATATGTTATAAAATACAATAATAACATAAGTTTACTTTTTTATTAACTATGTTTTGATTCAAAAGATTTAAGCCATTATCTAAGCAAGTTAGCCCAATGTTTCTGTATAAAAGATTTATAATTTCTTTTTCAAAAAAAAATTCAATTATAATTGATACATTTTTTTAGATATGAAGACCTGATTGAAATTATAAAGTTGATTAGGAATCATAAGAAAATCAAGGATATGAGTAAACTCTTAACAAGTAAGTTTATTAATTCTTTCATTGTACTTCTGTCTATTTTATTGTTAACCTTTTTTTCTATAAAGAAGTCCATTAATTCCATTTAGTTTTTCAGAGTTAATTGAATTATTTAAAAGTTTCAATGGTTTTTTTTTGTGTGCATATTTACTGCAATATTTTGTCTGTTTAAGCACTAATAATTTGTTAGCTAATTCTTTATTATTATATACTATTCATTATGTAAGAGAATTTGCAAATTCTGAATTGTCGAGTGCTGAAAATTGGCTGAAGCAAAGTAATGACAATAAGTTAAAACTTGTGAAACTACAAAATTGTAAGTTGGAATATTAATTTTAAAAAAAAAGAAAAGTTAAATGCAATTTAGAAGAATTAAGTACTTAATCTAATCTCATCAATGGGAAAGTTGGTGATATTTGTTAACTTTTTTTTCCTCCCCGTTCTAAATGTTGATGCTGGTGATAGATCAATCTAACGCAGTGTTCTCCCTAAGCATTTTTAGATGTACAGCTTGCCCTGCCAACCCTTCAATGCACCCTTTTTTATGAAAAACAATAACTGTCATTGCTTAAAGATGCTGCCTTTTTATTAATATTCCATTTATAAAATTAATTCCATGTTTAAATAATAACTAAACACTGGTATAAAATTATCTGTTTATGGGTTCAATTCTTATTGCTATTACAAATATTTATTTTCTTAGTATTATTCATAACTGGTTAAATTGGTATAAGTTTCTCTCTCTCTCTTTTTTTTTAGGGACGGTATATTAATTTAAGTAATTTTAAAATTATTTTTTAAATACCTTTAAATGTTCATTGTCTCATAATTTGCAGTTTAAAGTATAGAAAAAAGCTTTCAAGTTGTTTATCAATTAATTCTTTTTTTAGTTTACTTTTTTTGAAAAAAATTGTGCACAGTGATTGTCTTTTAGGATTTCTTTAACTGTAAAAGTTCAGTTATTATGTAATTTTTCTATTTTTAAGGTATTGATTTAGTGAGTGCCCTTTCAAAACTCAGAGTGCCCTTTTTTATGAGAGAGTGTCCTTTTTTTTATTCTTGGGGAGAGCTCTGTCTAAAGTTAAACCATATTTGTCACATCATTCAGTAGAGCATTTTTTGGTTAATAAAGAAAAAACCAACATTACCATTTAAACAATAAAACTGTTTCTTCCTATTGTTCTGCCATATAGTTGTTAAATGCTTGCAAAAGATGTCACCCTTGAAGAAAAAAAAAAGTGGCTTATCACTATTTTACCCAGAGCCTGTCATTTGAAATATAATAATGCTAAATTTTATTGAATATATTGGCTAATGTTTATCATCTTTAATGAAAATGTTGTTTGTGTATTTGAATTAACAAATCTCGATGTTTTATGCTTACAGGTTTTGAAAATTTAACTCGAGCATATATCAAGGCTCGTCCTGTTATTGAAAAAGAGGAGCGAGGAAACGTTCCCAAATTCTACACTAAGTGTCTAGTTGAACTAGAAGATTTTGTGGTTGAAGTGAGTTTTAAAAAATAACATTTCATTTTGATTATGATTATTGAAAGTAAATATGCACCAATTAAAATTAGTATTAAAAAGTAAAGTTGAAATGATTTATATCAAAGTATGTAACTGATTTCAATGATAGTGTCCTTTATCTATTTTCATTGACTCTTCTCTGAAATGATATTTTGTATAATATTTTTTCTATTTGTGTATTTTTTCACATTTAAAAATTCTCATTTCAATCCTATTCCATTTCAACCTTTGCAATCCTATTTCAATTTACTATAGAATTCATTATGGTTTTTTGATTTAGTGTCTTTGGGATTAATATTAAATCGCATATAAATTATCTGTATTGAGTAAGCTTTCTATTTCTTACTTTTCAAGTTAAAGACATAATTTTTTAGGTAGAAACAAGCAAAATGTCAAAGTTATGGTAACTCATTTGAGTTTGTGTTTTTTTTTTAATGAATCTTATAAATAGTCCTGCTTATTAAATAAAGACTATTTTTCACCCTTGATCTTATTTAAATTTTAAAATCTCGTAATTAAAGTGAAAAGAAGCCAAAAATACATAAGCGGACTGAAGATTTAAAAGTTTTGAAGTTAATTCTATAGTCATCAAAACTGTTAAGATTTTCCAATAATTAAATATTGCTTTTGATTTTGTTACTGCCTAATCAGTTTTTTGGTTTAACAATCATTTTTCTTTTTGCATACTGAAATATATATATATATTTCCATGAGCTCATACTATTTTCTAAGATGAACCACATTTTCTTATCTGTAATTTAGTGTTGGGCAGATACTGAGTCAAGAAAAAAACTCTCAAAAAGCAATTCCTCCTCACTTGCAAAGCTACGACAGCAACTTAGAAAGTATAATAAAGATTTTGAAAATGAAATTGCTGCCTACCGAGAAAAACCTGATGCCGAAGATGAAGATAGAGAGGATGATGAGGAACTTGGTAATTTATTAAAATATAATTAAATAGTCAAACAAAATTGCTTTATGATTTATTCTTAACCGAGGGTGAGGTATACATACTATTTTTTGCTGGAATAAAAATGCTTATTTATTATAATTAATATTAATTAGTTTATAATTTAGTTACTAACAAAAATGGCAACTTACTGATATCAAATTATTACAATATTGTATCAAATTATTATTATTAGAGTCTGATATGTCTGATGATGATGACGAAAAAGCTACTGATTTCTTTAAGAAGCCGACAAAAGCAGAAAAAGAAGATGTTAAGTCTAAGCCTGTAAGAGGATCTGATGATGACGTAAGTTCCTTTGAATCTTTAATAAATGTGTGTTGTAACACTCATAAAATTGCTGGTTATTAAAACTTAGTGTTTAGTGTTTTTACAGTTCAATGTAAAGAAAAAATAACTATTTTTATTGATATCTGTCATATTTACTAATTTTATTGAATATCCTCCATTTAATGTTCTTGATTATTATATATCTTATTAATTCTTTGAAGATTCTAGTAGTTAAATATTCAATAGCTTCATTCAAGTTTATCAGATTTTGACTAAGTGTTTGAAAAGTTTGTATAATCTGTAAATTTTAATATGTTGATTTAAAATTAATTTTTTACTTCTAAATCCTATTTTTACTTACAAAAGACTTCAAACTTGTATTGATATTTTATTTGCATAATTTTAGATTTTTGGGGAGATTACTGTTTTAAAGTAAATTTTGTCTTTCATTTAAATAAAACTCAGGAAAATAAATAACACAGTGTAATAAATGTAACATGGAATCAACTTCAAGCCAGCCTAACAATTGATTACGTACTTTTGTCATTACACTTTAAATGTTTTTATTACAACAATGTAATTATGTCTTTCTTTTTTAAAGGATTCAGATGATGATTCGATTGACTGGGGATCATCTTCAGATGAAGAAAGCTCACTCTCTACAGATGATGAAAAATACGGTGGAAATCTAGCAACAAAATTTTTAAAAAAGTATTGTTATTTTAAGTTTGAACAGTTTTGAACACTTGCCCCTCTTTTTTTTTTTCTTCTTGTTAGTCAAAAATCTTTGTTAATGATAAAATTTAAAGTGTTGTATAAAAAGTAAGATGGTATCCATAAAATATTAATTAAATATGTGAAATCGCTTTAACCTTAACTTTGTATCTCACTTTCAAAACATTTTGAAACACTTTTAAACTAATTTAAATGAATATCTTTTTATTAAACCTTAAATATACTTGAAAGTAAATCTGTAGTTTCCTTAATTTTTTTTTTTTCATTATACAAGTACAATTAAACCTATTTTTGTTTTTACGTTGTAACGCTAATAACAATAAGGATTTAATATATTTTTAATGCAACAATTGAGTGTGTGAAGGGGGAGCAAGTAACTTAGCATACAACGGCAGAGGTGGGTTATTAATTTTGAAAAGTATTCAGCTGTAAGGCATGCATTTTTTAGCATGAAAGAAAACTTTCAGTTTTGTAATTTTATTTTGAAATAATAAGACTAATAACTTTCAATGCCTTTTTTTGCTTCTAGCACATCCTTTTAATGCTAACTCTGCTATATTTTTCCCCCCAGTTTCTCCTGGTTTAACCAAAATATGTTCCTCATTTTTTGTTGTAATTTAAAAAAAACAATTTTTGATAGGAATGTTTTACTGCTGTTTAAATTAACTTTACATCTATTATTCAAAATTATAGATCAAATGAGAATAAAATATAAAGATGTTTTATGTTTGTCACAAGTGCAGAGTTAATTTAATATCTTTGTATTATATTTCTCTCTATTGATTTAAAAATCCCTGAATATAGATAGATTGTTATATATCTCTATTATAGATTGTTCAATAATATTATGCAATAGTTATCTTAAGGTTTCCTTTGTATTGTGAAATCTGATTAGTGTTGATGGTTGTGACTGACTGTAAGATTTGATTTTGATTAAGTGATGCAGAAAAGGAAGGAAAAAAGAAAAACATTTTGCTAAATCAAATAAATAGACACACCCTTCAGGCTCTAAAGTTTTCTTCATCTGTAGCACCTTTTTTCCTCCCCAAATCATTTTGTTTTTTATTCTTAGTTTCTAATCTGGAGGGATTTTATCATACTTGGGTTTTGTTATTAAACTATCCCACTGTTTTTCTTTTTTTAATTTGGTGCATTTCAATGACAATTTTTACGATTAAAACGAAAATAACTAGGTTAAAGTCACAAAAAAGGGCCACAAGCTGTTCCAGCCCTCTTATTTTTTAGTTATTTAATCTAATATCAAGGCCAATGAGAATTACAGTAATATTTCTTAGCATCACTCGTTAAAATTGCCTATGCTATACATTGTGTATGATATATGTTTTTAAAAAGGCCACTTTTATACTTTCATGTCAGGGTGACAGGACAGAGAATTTTATCATCTAGAAAAGTCAGGAAAATGTAAAGATATAATAACTAAAATGCCCTAACTGTCAAAAGAAGATTTTGAGTTTGAGGTACCTGAAAGTCTAATATTTTTCACACAAAAAATTTTTGTAATTTTTTTAAAACAGATTTTTTATTAACTCTAATAGCAAAAAAAATAAGGCATGAAAAAATACTTAATATTAAAATTTGTTGCAAAAATCATGAAGATTATTTTTTCTGTGTATTTATGACCACCCTGTATTAAACGTAAAGGATTGTCAATATTTTTTGTTTCTTTTTAAGGCCTGGTGAAAAAGATGATACAAAGGAAGTGACTAAGCGTGAGAAAAAACGAGACAAGGAACGTAAAGAAAGGAAAAAAGGCGATGATGATGATGAAGGCTGGGAAGAAGTTAAAGGAGGTGCCCCCATCATTATGGTACTATATTTGTTTTCATTTTTAAGTACTTTCGTAAATTTCAAATGATATCATAAATTGTGATTTATCATTGTTTTCCTTGTAGTATTGTCGCTAAACATACCTACCTGTCAATTCTCCTGTCTTTTAATGAAGACTCCCGTATGCCAATCTCCTGTTTACCTGTATATTCTCAATTTTCTCCGATGTTGAAGATATTTTTAAAAAATCTGGCTATAAAACAGCTAATGGCAAAAATACTTTTATTCCTCAACAGATGGTGTTATTGCCCGTACTGCAGTATGTTGAGTGCTTATAGTTTAAGTAATTATAAATAATAGTTTAAAAAAATCTTCTTTGCATTAAGATTTACATACATATTTTTTACTTCGCTAAATGTAAGTGCTTATGTTATTCCCAATTTTGAATTTCTCTTTTTGACTTACATGATTATGCATGATGTAACAAAACTTGACTCGTTACCGGAAAAATGTCGCGAGTAAAACTCCGTTTTTTTATTTCTCCAATGTTGGCAGGTATGGCTGAATTTAATCGCGTAAAAGTCTACCAAAATCTAAATGTGCTGATATGTTTTGTCTAATCAAAAAAAAAATTCTCCTGCCACTGAGTTTGAGACTGTGTACTTCTGTAAAAGATAATCTGTAGAAACATATTTCAAAAGGAGGAGCCCTTGAACATTTATTGCACACCCCTTTTTGAAATAATTTAATCTTACAACCATAATCACTGACAGTGCTCTTGACAACTTGCGAGAAAGTTCTTCAATTAAGGAGATGGTGCTTCGACTTTGTGGATTGTCTTTTTTTCCCCTACAATTTTTATAACCTTATAGGAATTCCATCACAAAATCATTATATGCCGTCAATATATATATATTTATTAAATATGAATGTGTTTTATGTTAATTGCAATAATTTTTCTATAGAAAATTAAATGTATTATATGATGTTTTAGGAAAAACCAAAAATGTTTGCTAAAGATGCTGAAATTAACCATCAAGTAGTGCTGAAAAAGTTTAATGAAATCTTAGCCGCAAGAGGTAAAAAGGGGACTGACCGCAGTGAACAAATTGAGCTGCTTACTGAACTCATGAGTGTCTGTGAGGCCCATAATTTAGGCTCTGGGATCCTATTAAAAATTATGTTCGCCATCATCGCTGCTATTTATGACTACAATCCAAATATAGCAACTTGCATGAAAGGTGATATGTGGCAAAAGTAAGTATCTATTGTAGCATTAAAGATTACTTAGAAAAATGTACTTGTTTTTACTATCCTTTTTTGTAGATTATTTTTAATTAATAGTGATTTTTAACAGGTTATTTTAGAGGTAAAACCGGGTTTCTGCACACCTGGAAAAATATAAATTTCGGTATTGAAAGAAATTAGTCATGAAATGTCATTAAAGATTTTTTTTTTTTTAAATCATGGAAAGTCATGGATTTTGTTTGCCAAGGTCTAATTTTTAAAATGGATTCCACCCCCCAATTTCATGATGTTCCGAATATCTAAATTTCTAACAAAATCCACACTCACAGTCATATTTTATTAAAATATAAAATGTTTTTATAATGTTCCTTAAAAATTATGGTGTTCTTTCAAAAAATGAAAGAAGAAACAATTATCTTTTTAAACTTCTGTGATTTAAAATTCTAGCTGAAGCAAGGCAGTCATTGGAGAAATTTTTTATTCCCAAATGAGAACAGAAAAATCAGGAGTATAGAATGTAATTCTGCAGAAAAAAAGACGATTTTTTTTTTTTTTTACTTTTGTATTTTTTTAGCTATTTTATTGCTTCAACTTTTTCTTTACTCTGTTTTTTTAATTAAACGTCTATAAATATGAAAATGCAGAGTGTAACAGTTTTAGTTATACCTATCATTTCAATTAATATTATTGTAAAGCTTTTTTTAATTTATTATTGGGTTTTTAGCGCAGAAAATAGTAACTTAAGTCATGAAAAATTCTTGTAATTAGTCATGGATTTGAAAATCTAAAATGTAGCAGATTTCCTGAAAAAATGTCTTTTATAAGCTTTTTAAACATAATATTTCTAAGTTTCCATTAAAAAATAAACTATAATTTTCATTTAATTACTTAGATGCCTGGATTATATAAACATGCTACTGGATATATTAATAGAAAATCCAAACATAGTTGTTGGGGAGCACATTTCTGAAGAATCTGAACAACTAGCTGTACAGCCATACAGGGTAAAAGGCTGTTGTTTGACTGTTGTTGAACGAATGGATGAAGAGTTTACTAAAATGTTACAGGTAATGCTAAGTTAAAAAGCAATTGTTTCATTAATTTTTAATACTATGTTTTGATTTATCTTTATAGCATCAGTTAAATTTCTTTTTTGACCCTGTCGTATCAATGTCGAAAGTCATGTTTTTGCCTGGCTCGAAATGCCTGTGCTGAAGCATTGCGCGTAGCGTTTTTAAAAAGTTCTTAAAGGTGCTTATTTTCGTTTGTTTTTTTTTAAACCTTTAAGGGAGCTTTTTCTTGGGGTGTTTTTAAAAAGTGCTTTATTTTCCCTTTTTGAAAATAAGATTTTTTTCCTTCACCATGTCGATTTTCTCTGTATATTATGCAGGTGCGTGGTTTTCACATTGTTCTATTCTACTTTTTCACAATTAATTTGGGCGTACTGTCGGTCCGTAACGTATGATAGCACCAATCATTTTAAATGTTTGGTGAAATACCTGGGAGTGACTGCTGAGCTGGGTTTGGTGAGATTCTTGCACTCTCATGTGCAACTCTGCCGCATTTTGCAATGTTTTCTCAATTTCAGGCTATATTCCCCACCCTCTGAAATCGAACCGAAAAATCTTTCGATATTTTATGGTGGCTAATATAATCAAGAAAAGAGTTCTTTGTCAGAAACTAGTTATTTTATCATGATCATGTAAAGTGTTTTAGAATTATTTTGCATTTTGTAATGTATATTGTGCTTAAAAATATTTTTTGAGTGCTTAAAAAGTACTTTAAAGGTGCTTATTTTTTGTTGAGATATTTGGCTACGCACCCTGTAAAGCTTGGATGTCTGGTTGAATTGCACTTTTCTCTTGTTAAGTCTTACTTATATGGAATCCACTCTAATGTACCATTCCTAATATTTTGAAATTAGTATTGATGCAAAATTGTGTTAAAATTTTAGGAGCTAAATGTCTTTATTTGTGCATCATTATGCTGCTCTTTAGTTAAGTGTGTTTTTACTTAAAAGTAAACCTATATTTCAACTTAAAAGTATGATTTTTTTTAGAGTATGTAGAAATTTAATTTGTGAAACTACTTGTACAATTCATATTATGTTCTAGTTGTTTCCAAATTTAATTTTTTTTTTCATCAAGATTTCAAATTTTGTTTCCTTCCCCAAATAGGGTTGCGATGCTCATTCTCCTGAATATGTTGAAAGATTAAAAGATGAAACTGCTGTTTGTGCTATCATTGAAAGACTCCAAGGTTATCTTGAAGGCAGGGGTACACCATCCGAACTCTGTCGCATTTACTTAAGACGTGTTGAGCATTATTATTATAAGGTAAGTTGCTAACATTTTTTTAAAAACTTTTACAGAAAAAATTTAAATGCATAAATTTTCATTGTTTTTGTTTTTTCATATAATCTAAATAATTATCAAAACTTTTTGTGTTAGCTTTAAAATAAAATATTGTAATTTCTAAATAAGTAACATTAGCTGATCATAGCTAGGCTTTGTTCACTGTTTCTAGACAGGTTTTTGATGATTTTAAACATAGTAACATAGCTGCTGCATAGCTCTACTTGATTTTTCAGTAGACTACTGGATTTTGCCAGTTTCTCTTGGTCTACTGGTTAAATTAAAATTCTCCTGGTTTTTGCACATTTTATAAAATTCTTTAAAGTTGAGTAAATTTTCTAAAAAAAAATACCTATTAAATATAATTTTTATTGCTTGAATATTTAAATTAGTATCACTAATGCATAATGAAACAAACCTCATTTTTAGATCTTGGTTAAAAACTGTTTTGAACAAACTCTCTTTTTAAACTTATTAAAAAAATCTTTTAACTCTCTTTGATGAATTAAATGCCCATTAATATTCGAAATTATGAGTAAACATAATACATAACATTTCAAGTATGTTAAATGTCAATCATAATTGGAAAATATTGAGTAAATTTTCTATAAAAAAAAAATACCTATTAAAATAGAATTTTTGTACGTATTATTGCTTGAATATTTAAATTAGTATCACTAATGCATAATGAAACAAACCTCATTTTTAGATCTTGGTTAAAAACTGTTTTGAATAAACTCTCTTTTTAAACTTATTAAAAAAAATCTTTTAACTCTCTTTGATGAATTAAATGCCCATTAATATTCGAAATTATGAGTAAACATAATACATAACATTTCAAGTATGTTAAATGTCAATCATAATTGGAAAATATTGAGTAAATTTTCTAAAAAAAAAAATACCTATTAAAATAGAATTTTTGTACATATTATTGCTTGAATATTTAAATTAGTATCACTAATGCATAATGAAACAAACCTCATTTTTAGATCTTGGTTAAAAACTGTTTTGAACAAACTCTCTTTTTAAACTTATTAAAAAAAACTTTTAACTCTCTTTGATGAATTAAATGCCCATTAATATTCGAAATTATGAGTAAACATAATACATAACATTTCAAGTATGTTAAATGTCAATCATAATTGGAAAATATTGCAATTTTTCTATTTTGATAACTATAAAAATCCCTAAAATTCCTTATGTGTAAAATATTTAGCACTTTATGCAACAATTATCATAAAATTAATATTATTTCGTAAAATCTACTGGATTTTTTCCCTATCCATAATCTATGTATTAAATACTCATGTCAATAATACTTTGTCTGAAACCCCACATATATTACATTTTTGCAAGAATCGGCAGATTATTCACAACTTAAGATTCTGCTGCAAAATATTTCATATTAATAAGTTATGTGTGATATAAAATTTTAATGTTACCTAGTGAAACACTCTTTTTAACAAATTGCATCATTTGGCGTATTATTTATTTGAAATGTTGTGTGTATTGAAAATGCAATCTAGAATGTTGGTGACATAAACATTTTCCTGAAAAAGTCAGAGGAATTTATTTCTGAAATTGAGTAAAAAAGTGTAAGAGCTTGAATAGCAAAAATCCAAACTAAATTTTTAACTTCCTTATTTCATTCCACCTAATTTGCTTAAAATAAATAAATAAATACGTACATGTTTTTTATACACATCGACTGGAATGTATTTTTATTGATAAGCTTTTTATTAAGGCTTACAATTAGTATTATTTTTGACCCGTTGGCAAAATGGGTGTTGTTTTGGGTTTTATGGCATGCGTACCTTATTTGGACGTCATCACACTTCAAGAGTTCTTTGTTCAAGAGTAATAGTAAACAGTGCACATTCATTGCTTTGGCGACCACTGCTGTTTTTATTTTTATTTTCACCAGCAAGCATTTTTAATGTATTTACATAATAATTTAAAGCATTTTTATATTATTTTTATTATTAACTTATAATTACTTGCTTGACGGTTATTTCAATATAAATATAAATACTGAAGAAGGAAAAATATTTTATGGCGTCTTGAAACACGTTCATAGGCAGGATTTGAAAACCAATCCGATTCATCAATTGAGACAGTTTTTGCGACCCATGATTTAAACTATTGTGGCGTTTATCAGAGTCAGTCCAGGAAAAAGAATCATTTGACCTATGTGTAACCAGTGATCGTAATAAAGCGATCACAATTTTTTTAGTTCTTCTCATATGTTGGTCCTCGACAATCACTTGGACAATCATTATTTGGAACTATTACTATTAGTTTTCTTATAATTAAGGAAGATAGTTTTTTTTATCCATTGACTAATGGGTTCAGGTAACTCTTATTTATTTATATCATATATTTCTCTTGTTGCGAAGAAAATATCTAAAAATAGGGTTTTCTTCCACTGCTTATTCTTACAATTAACTTTTCTTTTTTTTTTTTTTACATTTTATCTTAATATTCTTCAGCAAACTTCTTTTTTTCACTAATGCCATTCAAACAGTCTAATGTTTTTGATCAAAAACCAAATTTATTTTATTGTGGAATGCATATTTTGATCATTGCTGACCTTGTCTTATTATCTGGGAAGATGTATTTTCTGAACTTGTTAAACTCATGGCAGTTGTACGGTATTTGCTTTATCAACATGTGTTAGTTTTTTTATTTATTTATTTTTTTTTAATGTTCTTTTCCTCCCTCCCCCCCAAATTTCCCTCAACGTCTTATTTTAACAGGTAGTTGCTACATATATTCAAAAAGTAAACTTCTGAATTAAAATTCATTTTGGAATGTTTCTACTTACATTTCATTTGTTTAAAAATGAAATTTTGAAATGAACATCAACCTTTTATATAATACCTTACTTTTTATTCTAGTTTGATCCAAGAGTTTTTCAAAAGAAAGAGCGCATGAAAAATAAAGAGCCTTTCAAAGCCGCTTTTGGTGATCTGCTGAATGGCACTGAGCCATCTGCACCTGAAGAAGCCAAAGAAGAAGAAGAAAAAGAAGAGGAGGAAGAAGAAGAAACAAGTTCAGATATAATTAAGAAATTGTGCAAATTCATTTGTGCTAAGGACACAACTGATAGGATAAGAACTCAAGCTACATTGTTCCACATTTACCATCTTGCTTTGCATGATGAATGGTTCCAAGCAAGAGATCTGTTGCTTATGTCTCATCTTCAAAATACGATTGAACATTCCGATGTTTCAACAATGGTGAGTTTAGTGCATTTTTGACGATGTTATAAAAGTACTGCTCATAAGGTCCTATACAAAGGAATCTTAGTTAGAATACTTAGAATACTATGAATCTTAGTTTTTTATTTAGATTTGTAATTAAAAATAACTGTTGCAAAATTAAGCTTTAGATAGAATATTAAATGTTTGAGTTTTCCTAATAACTGCTTAATATTTACAGTAACTATTCATTTGAATTTGCAGTCGGACCTCTATTAAACGAAGTAGCTAAATCCCTATAAAAAGTTCTTGATATGGAAAATTCTTTAAATAGAAAATCACCATTTGAAATACTTATACGACACAAAGTAGGTTTTAAATGCATAAGCAATAGACATAATTAAAATAGCGATTGATACACCTTAATCTTGTAAATTATTATCTAGTATCAAATGATTTTAACATTTCATCATATGAAGGTTTGGTGATTTCTTCATTATTTTCGATTGCATATTCTTCCTCACAATTGTTTCCTGTATTGTTTTTTTTTTTTTTTTTTCCACATTGTCCAAAATATCTGATTCAGTGAATGTTTCTGTAGCTTCTGAATCAATAAAAAGAAATTCATTATTCAGTGCATCATAATTAATTTTGTGGTTCACTCTTAGCGGTACTCACATTATTTTAAGTTCTGCTGAAGGAATATCATCTTCGTCCTCCCCACATTCCAAATACTCTGCGCTGATTAACAATCCAGCTTAAGCAATACTATTATGAATAGTATGGTCTTTAGCATCATATTTCTATGCTTTAGAAGTTTCTGTCATGCTTTATCGTAAATTGATTTTTGGAATTAATGAATGAATGTGTTAGCAAGTTCGAAATGTTCAGAAATATTTTAGGAAAGTGAATCTCAAAGAAATGTTTATTAAATGGAAAATTCACTTTGCTATTTGGAAGTTATTTTACGAAGAAATTTCTAGAATGTTCTTGGTTCCTCAAAAAAAAAAATTTGAAATTTGTAAAATAAAAGTCGGACTGTAATTTAAAATACTAAATCATATTCAACAATGCCAACTACAATATACTCAAGAAATGTTTTATTTTTGACATAAGTGCAACCTGATATAAAAAGAGAAATACTAAAAACTAAACTTAATGTATTTATTTGCTGAACTTTGTTTCACCTATAACGCTTTTTTATTAATCATGATTTAGGTTTTGGGTACAATAGACCTCTGGTTGATGTGCCCTCCTGCTCTTTGGAGTTGCCCAACCTCTAAGTCTAATGTATTTGTGCATTAAGTTTAGTCAAAAAATAATTGTAAGATGGGCATTCTCTTTGCTTTTAGGTAAAACTGTTTAGATAAAGCAATTTTTATTTATTTTCCGTTTTGTTTTAAAAATAAAGTTTATGACTATGAGTATTTAATTAATGAATGTTTTAGTAATTTTAATGAAAAATAAATAGTTTCTACTATCCAAACAGTTGTGTCATGTATTGGGTATAGTACTCAGTACTGAGTTAAGTATTATTATTATTTTGCCATCTAGAATTTTTTGAAGAAAAAAAAAGTCTCAGATGTTATCAATAGTCATCAATTCTGGTGCTTCCAGTTTATTATAAAATTTCCGAAAATGGCAATAAATCTAGTCTTAAAATATTGTGGTGAAAGTTGAACACTTGAAAATGTGTTTTAGTGTGATCTTAGTGTAAAAAAGTTTTTGCAGTAGAATACTATTTTATATTATCATAAAAAAATATCATTGCTTTATTGTGAATCTGGCTTGCATTAAAATTACGTTTCTTGAGCAATTAAGTTCTATGATTAGATGTCTGGGTTAGAAATCGAAATCAAGCCACTGTGTTTGTATCAGTAAGTATTATGTTGGATTATTCATGGTTAAAGTATCTGCACACTTGTTTCTTTTGATGTTCAAGGTATTCATTGCTGCACATGAGGATTTAATAGACTTGTTATGCTCTGCAATTAAGTTTCTTTATTGATAATTTTTTCTTTATTCTAGATAATTTACAATAGAGCTCTTGTTCAACTTGGTTTGTGTGCATTTAGACATGGTTACATTAAAGATTCTCATGCAGCTCTTCTTGACATTCAAAGTGGTGGACGTGCTAAAGAATTGCTAGCTCAGGTAATTCTTTATTATTGGTTAAGTCGGCACTCTTTTTTTTTCTCTCAATTTACAAACTAAATATTGGTAGAAGTTAAGAAAATATAGTCATTGGGCCAAAGGACCAGTAATTAAAAGATAATACTAGTCCCTACACATTTTCATTGGTCCATTTACAAATTTTTATTTTATTTTTAAAAAAATCAAAATCAATTAAGTAAAGTTAAATAAAAAATTACAATACAGAGAATGATAATGTTTACAATTATTATAAAATAATTTGTTTTGTGATTAAAGTACGAGCCAAAATATCCAAACTGCATATCATCCCTGTTGTCCAAAGGACACGTATAATTTATTTTTTGGTCCCAGGCCAATGGATAGCCTTTAATTTTTAATGGTTGAGTTTCCAAACAAATACTTGTCATGGATACACAAAAAAAAGAACTAAACTTGGGAACCCCTTTCTTTTGTTTTAATGCCCCCTTATTAATAAAATATAATATCTTAAAATACTAAACCCATTATTAAAATGATATAAAATTAAATAGTTTAAATAAGTATGTTAGCATTATTTAAAATAAATAATAACAACCTAATTTTTACATGAAATTATTATTGTTAACTTTTTTCAGTTTTGGAACTTAAAATTTGAGTTTTACTCTCTCTACGCTACTGTATTTAAGAGAGAAATGATAGGATAAAATAAGCAATGAACATTCATAAATCAGGAAGAAATTTCAAGAATTCCACTAAAACCTTAAACATAGTTTTTTTTTATAGGGATTAATGACTGATAAATTTTTTTCATGAACATATTTGCTTTTGAGCAGTAGCATTTTACTTTTTAGTGCATTGTCTTAAGTTATTTAAGGGCTTTGTCAATTACAATCTTGATTACAGAAAGAAATTAGGTCACTTAATCAAAGGTTTAGGAATTGAAGCCAATAAAACATTTTGAAATAATTGGTTCGTGTATGGGGGATTTTTTTAACTAATTTATTATTTTATTTTTTATTATTATTTTTTTTTAATTAGTCCACTTACCTGTCTTAAATTATTATATTGTGTATAAGCAATTAATGTATACTTTTTTCCAGATTTAAGTTTCAGTTCTGATTCTAACTAACCACTTTCACTCATGATTTTTAATTTTCATTTGATTGCTGTCAATCAAATTTATGTCCTCAAAAAAAAATAAGTAAAAAAGACTCCAGACTAGTTCTAAAGATTAAAACTAAGTACATATAAGAAAATAAACAATGATTATAAAAAAAAATATATATTAACCTTTTGGTGTATTCATATTTGTTAAATACAGGGATGAGATTTTTCCGTTTTTTAGCGGATTTCCGCTTTTTTCACTTTTATCTCTTAAATTTCAGCTTTTTTATCAAAAATTCAGATTTTCTAAAAATTTCATTTTTTTAAATTAGTATTCTGCTTTTTCAGAAAATTCACCGATTTTCAAAAAGGAACAGAAAATTCAAACTACATAGCTACCAATCCTTTCTCATTTTTACTTATTTTACCTATTTTCTCCCCTTTACACGCAGCAGATAAGATTTTCCGAATTTTTTACCCGCCCTCCAGATGGATCCGATTTTCGTAGTTCAAACGACGCTGCTTCTGACAAGCCTTTCAGAGGTCCCAAGCCTGGAATCTGCTAATATCTCGATTCTTATTCACACGATTTTAATATCAAACATAGCTTTTCATATTTGCGTGTTGCGATTCTTATTCACGCGATTTGAATATTGTACGTTGCGATTCTTATTTACGAGATTTAAAAATC